CCTTAGCAAACTCATTCCCCTCATCCTCGTCTTCATCATCGTAGGCGTCATAGTCTGGGTAGGCTACCAGGTCTCTGCCGGCGCGCAGAAGATCCGCGACGAGGCCTCCGAGCGCATGGAGCGCAAGAACCTCGTCTGGTCTCAGGATGGGCTCAAGGTCGGCGTAAAGGACAGGGAGAATGAGGCTTACGTCGACCAGACCCAGGGCTGGGTCGTCAAGGCTTGGAAGTTGGGCAGTGCTCCGGCCGGGCAGGAGACCAACAAGTCGAAATGAGACCAGATCATCCACAAGATACATGATACAGGATACAGCAACAGCAACGACACCTGCCATCGCCCGATAGCTCCTCGACGACAACGAACGCTCTCATCACGCAATGACCGACGCGACACCAGACCTCGATACCCTTGCCAAACATGTACTCTCTTTGTCGCATGCGCAAACCTGTTACAACACACAATTTTTTCCCCCTTCTTTTACTTCTTTTTACTTCTGTACATATCGTCATCTCAATGTGCCTTTTGCTTCTTCTACGAGCGGGTATTGGAAAGGATCACAGGCGTGGGTATTGGGGGGGGGAGGGGGAAAGTTGGCTGTTCCTCAAGAGCTGGAGGAATCTCTCTTTCAGAGCAATATCTTATTACGATTCATACGATTCCAACATACCAGGACATGTCCAGAAAGACAGTCATCAGAAACAAGCAGAAGCATGTATGAATGTCACGTAAACGTCATTGAGACTGGACTATCATCTCGCCCATAGCTGTGCTGCTGCACCAGCTAACGCTCATGTTCGAAAGAAGGAGAAACAAAGGAGAGATGAAAAGAGGTCTAGAAACCTCGTAAAGAGAACGCTAGGTAATCCAACTCCTGAATATCATCTCAAGATGGGGAGAGAAGAGAGGACTACTCTCCCTGGTCCGTCACCTGGCCCCTCCGAGCCGTAAAAAAACTGCCCACGTCATTCGAAGCCTTTCCCCTGAGCATCTTTTCGAACCCAACGCCAGCCGTCAGATTGGCCATTGTTCCGTCTCGACGGATGAGCATCGATGGCATGCGGAGGTTGAGCTATACATGTATTGTCAGTAAGGAACCATGGAGCAGAGAGTACAAAACGAAAACAAAACAAAAAAAGGGGGGGAGACACTCACCTGTCCCAGCAACCCGGCAGATCTCACACCGAGCTGCTCATTGATGAAATGCAGCCTCCCCTTTACCCACGCCCTCTCCGAGTCGCTGATAAAGTCCTGGTTCTGGATGCACACGAGCGGCCACGAGAGCTGCAGGCCAGGGAGGGCCTTCTGCGCATCTTCGTCTCCGCAGCCAAACGACGACAGACCGGTTCTCTCCAGCAGGTGTTTCCGCTTGGAGAACCAACCTAGCAGATAGGGCACCGAGGCGATGATGTCCGTTATGGTCTCGCGGGCTATGCGGGACACCCACGCGTACTCGGGCGTCGTGCGGTAGTCTATCGGTGCGCAGATCCATGCGGCGCACCGGACAATCGAAGACGACAGGAGGATCCGACTCGTCCGGACATTGTTCCACACGCTCGCCACCCACAGGTCCTGGTAGAGGTCCACGCGGCCCGGGTACACCTCGGCCTTGAAGTAGTCGCCGTTGGGCACGTTGTCCTCCCAGGCCGCCGTCTTGTACGTATAGTGCGGCGGCGCGTCGTGGAACCAGTTGGCGAGCTCCTGGTCCATCATCTGGCACCGCCGCATCAGGTCCAGCATCAGCTGGATGTTGTCCGGCGTGCGATCCAGCGTCGACAGCAGCCGATTGACCTCGGCGCGCAGCTCGCCCACGCGGATAGACAGACGTTGGGTGGCGCAGGCTGTCGTGTCGTGCGTGTCTCCTGATGTCCACCACTCGGCGCTCATCGTCGGCGGCGTCTGGTTGGCGTGCATGAAGCCAATCATCTGGGTGCGCACTGTGCTGAAGAGCATGACGCCCACCTTGGTCTTGAGCTGGCTGCGCCCGCGGGCCTTGACCAGCTGTATGGCTCCCTCAATATGCGATCCCCACGCCATGCTACCTATCCGGTTGGCCGATATGGCCTCGTACACGCCGAGCAGGAGCGTGCTGGCGAGGGTGGCGTCGGTCAGGGCCGTGGCCGGGTCCTGCAGGGCCTTGTGAGTGGCCGAGAGAGCCTGGGTGTACTGGGCGATGGCCATCCTCGCAAACGTGTTGCCTCCGCCGACGCGGTTACCGATGGAGGCGAACGAGCAGGCGGTGAAGGCCAGCCTCAAGCTCTCGGGGATCCGGTCGATCTTGAGCAACGGCATGAGGTAGTTCATCCAGCCGGGGCTGAATCCCTGGCGCGACACCATGACAAAATTTGAGACGAAGTGGCATGACGCTTGCTGGTCCGGGGCCATCTGCAATGCGCGGGAGTTTCTTGGAGTGGTGATGGACACCTCCTTCGACACCGACTCTGCGGATTGGGATTCGGATCCGGCATCTGCATCCTTGGAAGAAGAGCTGGCTCCTGCTTGTCCGTTGCGGAGCTTCTGCGACGCGGCCTTCTGCGACTTACGGGCTCTCCTCTCGGTGGCCTGCGTCTCGTTACGGAAGACGAGATCGAAATCGTGCTTGTACCCAGGGCACTGTCGCCGCGACTTGGCACACTGGTTGCAGGTCGGTTTTGTCTCGTCACACTTGGGCATTGTCCCGTCAGCTCTGGCGCCAAGGGGGAGTGCGGTCCTAGGGAGGACAAAGTACCTTGATCCTGCGCGTTCTGCACATCTGACAACCCCTTGAGGGCTTTCCACAGTAGACCATGATGTACCCTGCGTGGCTCTCAAGAGCCGATCAATCGTTATACAGAGGCGACGACGATGGTATGATCCTACTTTCGGATCGAATCGATGACCGGCAGCCGCCGACGAAGAGGCAGACACGTTTTGCCCCACCAAAGAGGGAAGGGAGGGAAGAGAGGGGGAGAAAACGTCCTCTTCGCCCAAGCTTGTGGACGGATGACAGGAAAACGTGGTGTGAGGAATGAGCTGGTGGAGGCTGGAGTGACGTTTCCAGGCTACTTGTGGTCGAACCCTAAGTTGTAGGTGAAGAAGGTGATCCACCCATCGACCGGCAAGAGAATTGAAGAGTACGCGTTTCGCGAGTAAAGGAAACAAGACTGATGATCTAATGGTCATGCACTCGTACCATGAGCTCGCGTGTACGCAGTAGGCGGCTTATTATGTGCGACGCATGTACTGTGGTGGATTGATCGAGAACGTGGGCGGAAGCGGCGGAATGGGACGGTCGTAGCCACTAATAAGGTCGTGCGTGGTACTGGAGGATTGTCTGTCCAGACAGCTAATGCAGAGCGGATGGACTGTGGCCCAAACACTTGTACTCGTTCCGTTGGTCGTTAGGCCTGTCTCGATTGTAGACGGGATGGGTGTGCATGTCTTGTTGGTGTGGTGTCTCGCCAGTATACAGTGATACACACAAGTGTCAGGATGCCGAGGGACGAGAAGGGGGGGGGGGGGAGAAAAAGAGCGGGGGAGAGAAGAGAGATGTTGGCAACCCAGGGGATCTCAGAGAGTAAAAGAGAGAGAGAGAGAGAGAGAGCAGATGGTGGTGGGCTTGAGAAACCCAGATCCGGCCCCGCCCATCAAAAGGATCTAGGAGCTGCTACTTGGTGCCAGTGGCAGGTTCAAGCCTGCAGGCGACCCGGGGTGGTCTAGTCTGGGTGGATCCTTTGGGAGGAGGTGTCGAGGGTCAAGGGTCGGAGATGGTGAGGAGCTTGTCTGTGGACTCTGTGGACTCTTCAGTCTAGAATATAATAGATGAACAAGCTGAAACCAAGGTGGGGAGTTGTTTTTTGGTGGGTTTTCCACGAGCTAAGGGTGACACTGACTCCACGCTCGTGCTGTACTTGTATGATCGTACTTGCATGAGATTCCAACGGCAGTAAGCACAAGGACGTCTCTGCTTTATTTTCCTTTTCTTCTTCTTTTCCCCTTCTTCTTTCCTCTTTCCCGTCGTTGTTGATGAGGCTTCCTCGATCTTATTCTGAGTAGTGACGGCGACGACGATGATGGTGATGATGGTGATGTCAAAAAGTACGGATTAATGTCCACGGCCTATTATCACCACTACATGTCAGTAATAAAATAATACAGTAGTACGGAGTAATACATGATATAATATCATTACTATGCAGTCTACCACTAGTAAGAGTACCAGTATCCGTAGACTCGCTAATGTCAGTAATGCGAGATTCGTTAGCGATGGTTTGGCATGTGGATCAATCAGAATGGCAGTCACTTTTCCCACAGTCTGTCAAGGTAAAAAGAATGAATAATTGGCAACTGCCACACTCACGGGGACCACTGTACACCTTCCTCTGACGATGAGATAATACTACGCGATAAATGATTACTAATATCCCGTATGTGTGTGTGTGTGTGTCGGATGCAAAACGTCACCAACCATCATCATATATTTCTTGACCCCCTTTACATACGGCCTCGTTGATTCAGCCTCCATGTCCTGTCCGAACCTGTCCCGTCCTGCCCTGCAAGCCATCTCGGCTTCTCCGTATACGTACAAAGATTGGTCGATACCAGGCAGGAGGACCCATGACCTACGGCATGGGGCCCATCACCAATACCAGGACCATGTGCCCTGCACCTGCATCTGCAGACTGTAATACTTGTACGAGTACGGACTCGTGGCTTTTTTTTTTTTTTTTTTTTTGGGGGGGGGGCTCCGCTTCGGTCTGAACTTGAGGATTGAGGACTGAAATGTCGGTATACGTAGAGGGATGGGCTCAAGATGTTGTTGCCATATTTGGCCTCCTCTACCTCAGAAGTCGACCGTCTCAGCATCAGCGACGTGGTATCGTGGCAGCAATGAAACGCTCGCCACCAGGATCATGGTATCCTTCTTCGAAAAGGGAATGATACTGCTATACCAGGCTACTAGCACATCTACATCCACATCTGCATATATATAATATATACGTGTAGTCCATAATGATGATGAATCCACCTGTACTGATTATCTTCAGTTTTATCTCCCAAGATTCGCTAGACGACAACAATATTCGTCCACCACACCCAGTTACATGTATATTTTTGTTTTCTTTCTTTCCTCATTTTAGAAATCCCCCCCCCCCCCCTCCTTTCTTTCTTTTCCTTTTGTTTTCTCTCCTCCTTCTCCCCTTTTTTAATAACAAAGTCATTATCATAATGGCCCCCCTCGACTCAGATTACACACACAAACACACACACGCACACACTCTCTCTTCTCTCTCTCTCTCTCTCTCTTCCCTACTCAACTTTCAAAAAGGTTCGACACACCGTCCAGGGCATCCGGTGTACCCCCCCTGCCACCATCGACACCGGCCTGACTACCGGCCTGTTGACCCTCTGGCGTCGCCATGAAACCCTGAGCCATCTTGGACCGAGTTGACTTTTTGGCGGAACCGGACGAGTCGCCCAAGCCGAGAGCTGCCCCGACACTCTTTGGCATCTTGCCCATCTCCGAGACGCTCACGCCCTTGAGATCCTTGAGCATGTCGAGCACAATGGCCCTCTGCTGACGCGTGTGCGAGCCGGGTTTGGCCGCGTAGGCTCCCAGGCGCTCCAGGTCCGACGGGTTGACATTAGGCAGGGAGAGCAGCACGTTGCGCGGCGTGGCAGTCACGGGCATGTAGTAGACTAGGATCGAAGCGATGAGCGACGCCAACTCCTTTTGCAGGTCGACAAAGTACGGTTCGTGGAAGGACGTGATACACGCCTGCAGCACTTCGGTGGAGATATACTCGCGTATCACCGACGCCGTCTCCGGCGAGACCGGCGACGTGTCCATCAGCGATCCTCCTCCGCCGCTGCTGCCGCTGCTGTTACTGCCCTGCACGCCGCCTTGTGTTGCCGGCTGCAGCTGTGGCTGCGGCGGCTTCTTAGACCCGGATTGGTCGAGACCGAACTCGGGAACGAGCGAGATGAACATTCTGAGAACCATGCTACAACTCCGCGTGTCTCGTACCCGAATCCCGTGGCAGCAGAAGATCAGGAGGGGTTCTACAATCTCCTGCTTCATCAGGCAGAATTTCCGTAGGGACGGGAATACTTGGACCTCGCCGTTGTCTTCCGAGGCTGGTCTCAGATTTCTCGAGTCTGTAGGTCATGGTCAGTTCCTTCTTCTTCCGTAGCAGGGGGCGAGGTTCCATAAGTGATGTATAGTGAGGAAAGAGAAATGTGGACATACTCTGCTTCCCGGGATCGAGGAAGTCGGCAACCATCAACACAGCAGTATACGTCACCTGACGGAGGATACTCTCCGCCTTCATCTCCTCCTTGAGGGCAGCGTCGCCCTCGACCGACACGGCCTGCTGCTGCTCCATGCGACTCCACTCGCCACTGATCTTGCTGTCCATCTGGCGGAAGCACGCGGCCAGCAGCTGCGGGAGGAAGTTCTCGCGACAATCTACAGGGCAGTCATCGACCAGGTACCGGACCAGGTTGAGCAGGTTGCTCTGCTGGTGGGTGGATAGCCACGTCGAATCGGTGAAGAGGGCCATGGCCAGGGGGCCAGACAGCTCGCCGTTCCCGTAGAATTGAGAGTCGAGCCTGCTCATACAGTAGATGATGGAGTAGGCCGTCTCCCTGACGAACCGGACCGACCCGCGCACCGACGATGCGAACCCTTCTATAGTCCCTTTCTTGTCTACAACGCGCGCGTAGAATTCGTCCTTGCTACCCTCCGAGATACCCGACTGCCAGAACCTGTCACTGAGGACCCTGTGCACCATCGATCGCATCTCAGGGGGCACACTAGTCCAGGCGTCGGGGTTGTGCGAGGCGTGAGCGTAGCTGAGGAACTGGAGCAGCTCGGCCAGGATATTGTTGAACCCGTCCTGCCAGATGGCATGGGAAACCTGGAAAGCGGGCGATGACCGGCTCAGTCTTTCCACGGAGAAGGCAAGGAATGATTTTGTCGAGCGAAGGGGAAGTGCCTGTATGGTTCTAGGTCAGTCCTGTCTCTTAGATTCAAAGAACAGAGGATATGACTTCCAAGTTCAACCCAGGATCGGAAAAGTAAAAAACAAAGGCAAGGAGATAGAGGGATAAAAGTACCTTGAGACGTTGGTCGAGCTCCTCCTGCAGCGCCAACCCCTCTTCATCAAGTGGGCAAGATCCCCAATCCTGGATATCATGCGCCCGGTGCTTGACGAGATAGGCCTGCGCCTTGTCGATCCCCAGCAGCTCGCAGAATCCAGAATATGACTTGAGCGACGACTCGATGTTGTCTGTCTGCCACTGGGCCTTGACGGGGTCGATGAATTCGCGGAGTTTGGAGATTTTGGTCTCTGAGTCAATCTTGCTGGCGCGATGACTATAGCTTGCTATCAGTATCATCTTCCTTCTTTTTGTTTCTTCTCTTGTTGCCTCCCCTTTCCCCTCCTTTCCTGTGTCAAAGAGGGATGGATTGCATACATGATGATGAATAGGAAACTCCTATAAGAGATACTACGCTTCTCATCCAGCGACCCAGACGAAAGCATCTCATTGACACGGTTGGCAATCTGCTCATAGACATCCAAAAGATGATCAGGCATCTCAGACGCAAGACGCTGGAGCTCGATCATACTCTCGCCCTGCAGATCACGAATGGCGTCGTTGAAGGCCCTGTACTCGGGCTCCAGGGCGGGCCAGGTAATGAGGATGTGCTCGAGTACCTTGAGCATGAAGCCGGAGCGGTTGTTGAGGGCCGTGGTGGAGAAATAGACGAGGAGCTGGAGGGTCCGTTTCCTGATGACGGGGTCCTGGGATAAAGTCAGAACTGTCTCCAAGCCTAGGTGTTCTCCTTCCATTCTTTCTCCCTGTTTTTCGGAGTAGATTTTTCCTGAAGGAAAAATGGTATTTCCCATGACATACATCAAACTTCATTTCGAGAAGCCTATTGCACCAGGCTTCCAATTCTGATTCGAGAGATTCCGGAGCCTAGAAAAGTGGTCAGTGGTTATTCTTATGGTATACATGGGTTTAGATGAGAACACAGACATTGTCGTCAGGATGGGCCGATCGCCACTTCATGTAGCCCCTGAGCATGGCTTCTATGACGGTGAAGCTGCAGTCTACACGTAGCGCAGGCATCGAATACTTGGAATAGTTTTCCTCTGTTGGTGGGGGAGGGATTAGCAATCAGTCCCTATACAAAAGAGGAGAGGGGGGAGGGAGATGCCTTACTGCTGAGCCCCTGTCCACCATCATACAAGTGCTGAAGGGCATACTCGGTACTGCTAAGGATGTGGGTGACGGCATCAAACAGCCTTAGCTGTACAATGGCCTCGATTACCTGGGCAGTGTAGCGACGATAGTTTCCAAGAAAGGCATGGCGTTCGGGGGTAGTGTCGGTGTCCTCCATGAGGAAGAGGACTGAAGGGTCGTCCGAGTCCTCGGGGAGGTGTTCGTAGCGGACGAGTCGGGAGATGCAGACCTCGAGCAGGGGGCCGATCATGGCGGAGAATCGCTCGGCGGGCTGGAGACCCTTGTTGTTGAGGAGCTTGGCCCAGGTTACGACGGCGGGGATGGAGACCATGAGGCTCTGGTGCTGGACGACCTGGACCATCAAGTGGAGGAAGGAGTCGACAGACGCATCTTCAGGGACCTGCCTAAACTTGAAGGAGAGGTAGTCTCCGATGGAGGAGAGCATCTTTTGTTTTGTTCTTTGTCAGTGCCCGTACATGGATATATTAGAGATGAGAGGAGGGTCACATACCTCTGACAGCTTCTTCAGCACCAGATACTTGTCGTCGTCAATGTCCTCTGGGTCGACGGCACACCATTCAAACAACTCCTTGCAGAGCTGGACAGGCTGCTGCCTGTACATTGGGACGACGAGCTCATTGAACTCAGAGTCGGAAAAGTTGACGCGACAGTAGAGAGCGTGCAAGCCTTCCAGAGCGCCCTAAATGGGGAGGGGTCAGCAGATTATGGTACTTTGGGGGGCCATGTTCGTCTCCACGTATCTATGCACATATACGCATATATATATGTACATATGTATGTGCAGGAGCAGATAATACCTTTTGCACATCAGGACTGGCGCAGGCGAGACTCGCGCAGAGGACACTGACGCAGTCAGCAGCGACGACGGCCTTGGGAATGGCCCAGGGGAGCTGGGTTTGCAATGTAGCAAGGGCCTTTACAGCACAAGATTTCACCTCCTGATTGTCCTTGATAGCGGGAGAGTTGAGGCACAGGCTGAGGAACTGGGTGACGCGGGGGAGCCAGCCCTCATGACCGCACCGGACCTCTGGGCCAGCCTGCCTTCGGGGGAAGACCTCTAGGAGGACGGCGGAGGGGGTGAAGACCTCTACGCAGGCCTTGCTGAGGACGCCCTCGCGCATGCCGACGACGGGGTCCTCCCCGGTGAAGACCTCGTCGGAAAGGGCCTCGAGGACGGAAAGGACAAACTCCTTGTGGACGGGAGATTCGGGGACGACATTCCAGAGCTCGACAAGGCGGGCGTCCATGTCCATCCACTCGGCGCCCCAGGCGCGCTTGGCGACCTCGATCCACAGCTGGGCAGTCTTGTTGCGAATGAAAGGGGGGTCGTCGCGGGAAATGGCCTGGCTGAGGCCAATGACCCAGGAGACGAGAGCGTCGATCTGGCCAGCGCCGTACGTGGACCACTGGTAGCGGACGGCATGGTCGAGGAGGAAGAGGCCGTAGTGGCGGACAATGTGAGGCTGGGACCGGTCGCTGGCCAGAGTGTGGCCGTGGATGGGAGCCTCAGCCGATACCTTGACCTGCTCGAGGAAGTCCTGGGCCTGACGGCGACCGTCGTTGCTCGACAGAGGATTGTGCACCAGCTCGAGGGCCTGGCGGATCTGCGAAAAGACCTGGCCGTCCTTGGCGTCGTTACCGGCCACGCCAGCCTCGGACATGATGGCGGCTGAGGAGAATGAGTTCTCAGCAGTAGCAAGCACGCACACACGCACACACACTGGGTATGCCTTTATTATCTATTTTTTCGACGGAGATGTCGTGGGGGAGCTGACACGGGAACAGTTGGCACGGAGGAAGATGAAGAAGAGAGAGGAGGTCTCGTGTGACGACGACGTTGGACAATGGTTAGGCGAGAAGCATTTCAGTCGATAAGGAAAGGATCGGTCGGTGGGGTCGGAGGCTATATCGTCTATTTTTTTCTCTTCTCTGCTGACAGCCGTTAGAAATTACCTTTTTCTTGACCAGGTGGTTGAAAGTGAGGCTGACAAGATGAAGTCATGAGGCGGACGGGCACGAGAGACAGAGAGAAAAGGCTGCAGATGGGAAAGACAGAAAAGAGAGGAAAATAGAAGAGACACAAACATACCAGAGGAAAAGATGGTGGGCAGCACAAGAGCTCAAGAGACAGAAAATAAGCAAAAAGAGAAAGAGACACAGGGATGAATAGGACTGGGAACAACGAAACGATAGGCGAAAGAGCTCGTGATGACGGATGGGCCTTTTTTTGGGTGGGACGAAGGACGGGACGTGAATGACGGGGCGTGAGGAAAACATACAGAGAGGTTCCGCCTACCTGACGGTGGGGGGGGCCTTGGAGAGGGCCCCGGGCGGGATTCGGGAGCTTTACAGGGGAGTTTAGGTGCAGATGCCATTGTGAGTTGGGGAGCTACAGCAGACGGGCGGTACGTCTAGTACCTAATAACGTCAGCAGCCAGCCAGCCCATATTAGCCCGGGCAGCGGAGGTAGGCTGGATGGAGGACCTGGACCTTGCCTGTATCATTCATTACTCATAGGTGTAATACCGGGTACATATATTATTACTGGCAATTATTACTGCCAGGCACCACTTGACTAGGTCCCGCTGAACCCGTAAACCCCGCCCCGGCCAGCTCACCAGCTCCCCGTGAGGATCATTCTCGACTTGATATACAAGGCTGAGCTTTTACACATGTAATATAGGAGCTAGAATCATTCCAGCTCATGTATCGATATTCCCGCACTCTGATAACTAGATTCATCTCTCTCTCCCTCCATCCATCCATCGTTTACCTGCCCTCGCTTACCACCACTCGTACCTTGCCACTACCTGTAATCCCATAGACAGAGCTTCTTATCATAGAAGCTCGTCGATATGCACGTCAACTCCCCACCACCACCACCAATACTCCCCGGCACAACAGCACTCGCATAATTCATACTCTCATGCTCCTCGAACCTACCGAGCACCCCACACTTCCATTCCCCCCCATTTGCGTCCCTGAAGATCCTAACCAGCCTCGCACCAGCATACATGCACGACACCAGGATGCGAACCGTCACCCCTCCGCCGTCACCGGACTCGACGACATCCACGACATCCAGTCTCCAGACCCCGCCGTCGAGGTTCTCTTCCATCAGAAGCTTAACCTTCTTCATACCGTATGACTGAGGCGGATCGCAGATGGAAAACAGCCTGATCCGATCGTCGTAGCTCCCCGTGATGACGAGCCGCGAACCGTCCAGGTCGTGTAGGTTAAGAGGCTCGATGGCCGTGACGCCGGCGCCGTGCTGACCCTTGACGCTGACGGGACTGAACAACGGCTTCCACTCTTCTTCTCTTTCTTCTTCTTCTTCTTCTTCTCTTTCTTCTTCTTCTTCTTCTTCTTCTTCTTCTTCTTCTTCTTCTTCTTCTTCTTCTTCTTCTTCTTCTTCTTCTTCTTCTTCCTCGACCTGGCAAGGATGGCCCTGAGCATAAGAGTTGTACCTGAGGACGGAGTCGTCGCCGCCACTGTAGACCGTCGTGGAGGTTGACGGGTCCGGTGCAAAGGCAATGCTCCACGCCTCGAGCGAGTTGTCGATATCCAGGTCGGCATGGCTAGCAATCTTCCAATCGCTGTCCAGATGGAGCATCCTCACCAGGCCCGACGACGTCGTCACTCCCAGAGTGTACGCATCTCCGGGATGCCACTGGCACTGCAGGAAGAGGACGTCCTCGGCCAGATCATCGCATCTGCTCGTCGCCAGGTGCTGTAGTGGCCTGTCGCTGTCCTCTACCCTGAAGATGGCGAGCGTGCCCGTGCTCGATATGACGGCTACGACATCTCGTCTGCCTTGTGCAGGGTGGAAGCGTAGGTCGAGAATGGCGGACGGCTGTGCCTCTGTCTGCACACGGGTTCTGCCCAGCCCGAATCAGCCCCTAGTAGATACATAGCATCACACTCGTGAGAGCGGTGCGCAGTCCGTCACCATGGATCATGTTACGGGGCCGAAAAGACTTACAGACTGGACCCGTCGGTGCTAAAGACGATGAGAGATCCATTCCGTTCTGCAGCTGTGTCTTCCGCGCCTTCTACGGCTGACCCGTCTTGCTGCTTCTCGAGGTTGTACGTGCCGATTACGAGGAGATGGGGGTGTGGGGGGCAGAATTGCGCGCAGGCTGGCGGCAGATCCAATACTAGTGACACCTTGGATCTGATCGTCGTCATTTTTTCTTGAAGATGTCGGAATTCTGTAGCAACTCGTGGGCTGTGAGACAAGGCTTTTGTAGGTCCAGGGTTCTTCTAGCTCGGGAATTTTCCCCTCCAAATGGTGGGGTGGTGATGCATTCCCGCTAATACCGTCACTTGGACATCTACAACAGGCTCCGTAGCAGTATATGCACCTGTATACAATGAAGATGTGCTTGATCGGCAAACTGCACGTTCTTTAGCCAGCCGGGGCTGTTTCTTGTTTTACTACTCCTCGCATCTGATCTGTCCATGCGGGATCCTAGCTGCGGCCGTGTCTGAGCTGAGTGAGCAGACATGCATGGATCAGCAAACGTGTATGCGTCCTACCGATCGCATATGCATTCTGAGCAGTACATCTCAGCACAATACACTGACTTCTTCTTTCGTTGCTGCAAATACTGCACCGAAAAAAAAAAAAGAAATCATCTAGCCTCCATCATGGACTCAGACGACTCAGACTTTTACGGTAACATTTCTTCTAGCTACGCTCATCCCACTAGATCGGCCGTGCTGACCCGCCCTCCTCGCACCAGGCGACGCTGATAGTGTCTCAGCCCTTGAATCCCGCATCGAAGACTTTGACGTATCATCCTGGCGCCAACGGCATTCGCAGTCCAAGACGGGCCGTCCCCTTCTCCCCTCTTCAGCTCCCGGGTTGGCAGATACCGCCAGCAGCACGGTAGCCACACGTCTACACAACCCCTATGCCGGCGTTCCCTACGCGTGGCAGCTGACGGAGAGTGTGGATGCCTTCCTGGACCGCCTGCCGCCGCAGACGACGACGGGCGTTCCCTGGATCTTCATCTGCAACCCTTACATTGCGCGCGTCGAGAAGCGTGTCAGCGACGTGGTGCAGAGTAAGGGCGCGGGTAACGGGGACGAGGCGCCCGATGAGGCCCACAGCGATGTGGCCATCGTGGTAGAGGGCGGCACGGAACGCCTGGCTATCCTGAAGCGCTTCGTCGACAGACTGCGCTCCTCCGGGAGACCGAAGAGCATCGTCGAACGGGATGTCGCCAGGGAGACCAAGATGGCTGCCAATGATGTGCTCAACCTGGCCCATGCGTACAAGGTGCGACCAGGAAAGGTATTTGCTTCTCTCTCTCCCTCCATCTCCTTTCCTCCCTATCTATGCACATCTTCTCCATACCTATTGCTTTGTGTGTTCGGGTAAGCTGACAGATCTAGTGGATGCTCTTTATCCCCCCTCGGCAGGTCAACGACGTATGGGCTGTTGTGGCCAGAGCCACGGCAGATAACGAGCTGGGTATAGCCGCGAAGGTGGCTCCGAAATCGGACATGGACGAGGACCCCCGGAAGGACCGCCTCATATGCATCTACACGGCCGATTTCAAGGACACTGCCGACGTGGCGCGCGTGGTGCGCAAGCTGCGTGAGATCGGGCTCGTCAATGCCAAGGGCCGTCCGATATATTACAAGCCAGGTAAGTTTGTCTACCGGTACAGCACCGGTTACGTCACGTACATGCTGAGCACCAAGACTGACTTATATCCTTCCATCTCCTGGCAAAGACGTCTTTACGTATATCGGCATCGCATCTGGAAACCCATGGGGAATCAGGCCGTCTCTGTACAGCTCAACGTCCATGCTACGCTAGGAGAGACACAGTCCGACGGGATGAGGTATGAATGGATAAATAGAAGTGACATACTACATACGTTACATACAGTACAGCACATCTTTGTCATCTATGTAGAAGAGAAGATGCTGTTTCCCACTGCCTTTGTAACCAAGTGACTATGTTTGTGACTGTTTGACCAAGAAAGGTATGAACGCCGATCTGCTCCCATAAAACAAAAGTGTATACGCAACCTCACATAAAGAAAAAAAAGAATAATCCAACATATACGCCTGCTTTGCAATGCTTTAGACGCCCTCCTTCATCCGCCCTGCCAAGGGTCAAGGCAATGTCCGTGCGTGTGTCTAGATGACCTCTCCGGAGTAGGGATCCGGTCTAGACTCGGGGTCCAAGGACTTGAGGAGCAGGACAAGCCTGTAGGCACTATTTCCATTGAGGTAGTACCTATGTAACTTCTTGGAGCGCAGGAATCCAAGACGCTCGTACAGCCGCATAGCGGGGGCATTGGTCTCCTCGGTCTCGAGGACAATCTCGTCGGCCTTTCGCTGGGCCATGGCCTCGATAGCCCTCTTGACTAAGGCCGTGGCAACACCGTGACCGCGGTAGGGCGACGCGACGGCCAGCATGGCAATGTAGCCGCGGCGAGTAGGCGTCGAGTGGGCCGCGTGCACCTCTAGCTTACAGACTATGACGCCAACCAGGGACTGGTCAACTGAGCTCAGGGCCTGAAGGGGATGTTAGCTGATTCAGCATCCGGCAGACGGGGAGAGAGATATGAAGGGATGGACGAGCGGGAATAAACGGGAATGAGGAGAAAGAGGAACTGACCATGAAGCAGAGATGCGACCACTGGCAGAGGAAATATCGATATACATAGATGCTGTATGGCTCACTCAAGTCCTTGGAGATGAGGGCCCTGATGGCGGGGAGATACTGCGCCTCCAGGCGGTGTTCATACTGGACATATTGGAGGTCTGCGGGGGATTTCTGAATCTCGGCCACAGCCAAGGCCATTTTCTCTCTCTCTCTCTCTCTCTCTCTCTCTCTCTCTTCTCTCCCTCTCTCTCTCTCTATATATATATATATATATATATATATGTGTGTGTGTGTGTGTGTGTGTGTGTGTGTGTGTGTGCGTGCGCGTGCGTGCGTTGCGATATGTGCTGTGTGCGTATGCGCTGGAGGTTTGCTCTTCTGTGGATATCGGAGTTGGCGGTGGCAGCCAGCAGTAAGTGAGAGAGAGAAATGGAGAGAGGGGCAGCGGGGTGGGTAGGTGGCCTAATATGTAAGGGCTCGTTGATGGCGCATACAAGATAGTAAGAGAGACCCCGAAAGGTCAAGGTGACTCACGTCGTCAGCCTGGGCAGATTTCTTTTTGAAGCCCAAGAGGTGCTGTTATACTCGTATGCATCAGGTTTAAAACTGAGGCTACAACACACCCTCTGTCGAGTTGGTTTGAGAGCATGCGAGGCGCAGGTTCCCCGGTCAGCGTCGGCGGCTCCCCCTCCCCCCTCCCCCGGTAAGCGGAATCATCTATCTTGGGCGGCACTGGAGAGCTCTTTTTGGTGATTTATAGTGGGGGGGGGGGTTGTTCCGGTAGTGGGTTGGGCCTGAATCGGCACTGAAGGGGAAGGTACGATGCATGCGTTGGGGGGGGCTTTCCACGCTGTATTAATCGTACAGTAGGAGTATTATATAAGCGGACGGGCCCTATTTCAGGCCTTAAAAGGACTTGGAAACTTTTACTTTACACAGCCGGTCGGGAATTTCCAGGGCAGGTGAGTGCCGCCCAATGCGTCTCTTTAATACTTTAAGACTTTAAGACTTTAAGAGGGGTGAGAGGGGTTTTATTTGGCGCCGGAACCGGCGGGTCTGGTGTTATGTATGTGGTGCAGCCCTATTCCAGAAATTCGTACTCTATACGGAGTATGATATTCAGTAACAGCGATAGCTGTTGATAGTATATCTATCATGTAGCAGGAATATTGTAGACAGCTGGGTTTATAGGACAAAATCGATCGCCATCCATATTCCATATGTCCTACGATACAGTAATATCACCAGTAATAATAATACCACTCTGACACTAACACTACCAGGCATGCGCATGGATAGCATCTCTCTTAATTTGCACATGCCCTCCCTCCCTGCCTTTACTGAGTGGGGCAGAAGTATCTGTCTAACTAATTGACGTCAAGGGCGAGAGACGGGCTCACTCCTTCCCTAGCTGTTGCCCACTTTAAGAGCAGAAAGTAATACAGATTACACACCATCGGATTTCACATGCTACCGGCCCCGAGCCCTCGCACTTTCAGGTTCCTCCCCTCTCCCCGAGCTACCAACGACGTCGGAGCTTGTTCCTTCGTTCTCCGTCTCGTTTCCCTTCTCTCTCCCATTTAAATAGACACATACGCGACTCGGTGTCATTCCACTCAAGTAGAAGACAACCGCTTTCCCCCCTCCTTCCACTTTTGTTGCTGGCATCGTCGCATGCCGCCGTCATCCCATCGGCCTGTCATATCCCTTCTCCCTCTTTCTGCGCTTTCGCTGGTCTGATCATGGCTACGACGTTGAGACGTCGTCTGCCGCCAGACAACCGACATGTCGAGGCTCCTGGACGGGACGAGAGCCCGGCCGACCACCCCGCAACCCCGGCCCAGACGGCTGCACCGAGAAAGTCGAAACGACGCAACACCTTCATCTTCCTCCTGGGTGGCCTCTGCGGCATCATCGCCGCCGGCTTCATGGCGTCGAGCAACGACCTGATCGACCTGCCCGAGTTTTCCGACCTCAATATCGATAGCTTCCTCGACGCCATGCCCGCCGGGCTCGTGAGCGACTTCAAGGACCTGGTGCAGGGCGAGCGCGACGTGGCCGACGCCTACGACTCCTTCTCGGTCGGGCTGAAGGCGCACGCCGAGGGCATGGGGGCGCACCACCCCGTCGTCATGGTCCCCGGTGTCATCTCGAGCGGGCTCGAGTCGTGGGGCACGTCCAACATCTCGAGGGCCTACTTCCGCAGGCGGCTGTGGGGTAGCTGGACCATGATGAGGGCGCTGGTGCTGGACAAGGAAGTGTGGAAGCAGCACATCATGTTGGACAAGGAGACCGGACTGGACCCGCCACTGGTCAAGCTCCGGGCCGCCCAGGGCTTCGACGCGACCGACTTCTTCATCACCGGCTACTGGATCTGGAGCAAGATTCTGGAGAATCTGGCCAGCATCGGCTACGACCCGACCAACTCGTTCACTGCGGCTTACGACTGGCGACTGTCGTACCCCAACCTCGAGGTGCGCGACCAGTACTTTTCGCGCCTCAAGTCGTACATCGAGACAGCCGTCGCGTTTGAGGGCAAGAAGACGACACTCATCTCCCACAGCATGGGCAGCCAGGTCGTCTATTACTTCTTCCACTGGGTGCAGTCGGATCTGGGTGGCAAAGGCGGTCCCGACTGGGTCGAGACGTACATTGACTCGTGGGTCAACATAAGTGGGTGCATGCTCGGCGCGGTAAAGGACCTTACGGCCGTCCTCTCTGGCGAGATGCGCGACACGGCCCAGCTCAACGCGGCCGCCATCTACGGCCTGGAAAAGTTCCTGAGCAGGCAGGAGAGGGCGGAGCTGTTCCGCGCCATGCCTGGCATCTCGTCGATGCTCCCGATGGGCGGCAACACCATCTGGGGCGACGCGCTAGGGGCGCCCGACGACCCCACGGGGGCCAACTTCACCTACGGGTCGGTCCTCAACTTCCGGGAGGGCGCCAACATGTCGGCGCCCGCCAAGAACCTGACGGTGGACGAGTCACTCCTGTACCTGTGGAACACGACCGAGGACTGGTACAGCCGACAGGTCAAGGGGAGCTACTCGCACGGGGTGGCGCACAGCCGAGCGCAGGTCGAGGCCAACGAGAAGGACCCGTCCAAGTGGATCAACCCCCTAGAGACGAGGCTCCCCCTCTCGCCTAGCCTCAAGATCTACTGCTTCTACGGCGTGGGCAAGCCGACGGAGCGCAACTACTATTACCGCGACGCCGAACCCTACCCGGGCTCCAGCCTCAACATGACGATCGACGTGGGGTACACGAGCGGAGACGTCGACCACGGCGTCATCATGGGGGAAGGGGACGGCACGGTCAACCTCCTGTCCACGGGGTACATGTGCAACCGCGGGTGGAACATGAAGCGGTACAACCCGGCCGGGGCCAAGGTCACGGTCGTCGAGATGCCCCACGAGCCCGAGAGGTTCAACCCCCGCGGCGGTCCCAGGACAGCAGACCACGTCGACATCCTGGGGAGGCAGAACCTGAACGAGCTCATCCTCCGCGTGGCGTCGGGTAGGGGCCAGGGCATAAGCGACTTTGTCGTCAGCGCGATCCGAGAGTACGCTGCCAAGGTCAAGATCTACGACGATGACGAGGAGGCGCCGACGGAGGGGAAGGATGCAGTCAAGAATAATGTTTCCACACCGTAGTACGTCTTGGGGTGCTTTTATGGTTGCATTTTGGGCGTCGTGGCTATAAATCGATATCATAGATGGGGCTCTGTCCTTTTCCTCCCATCATGTTTTGTGTTTTCCTTGTGTTTGGTTGTTGATCGTCTCATGATGCTATACGAGTAGCTTTTTCTTGCTCTTCTTACTTTTCCTTCTTTTTCTTTCTTACAGATGGTATTCGCGGTTAGCAAGGAATGACATATATATCTATACATATATATTTATATATATATATACGTGTCTCGTTCTTTCATTTATTTTTGTGTAATCTGTAAAGTATCCCAAGCCAAGACTTTTTGAGTGCATTTCCCCCACCAAGTAAGTTACCAATACCGCCAACACCCTTCATCCCATGGGCCCATTGCCCATTGTCCATTGTCCACTTTACCCCACCAACTGGCACCTTCAGACATTCTAACCTCCTTACATTCCATCGCAAGAGCTTTCTCTGCGTCCCATCAATATGTTACATGAATCGTTCTGATTAACTTTGGTTCACTTCCTTTCAGTTATTTATCTTTCTTCTACTTCTCTTTTCCCTGCTCCTTCTTTTCTCTCTGCTCTGCTTCATTGCTTTCTACTCTCGGCACAAACACACACACACACACTGAGCGTGCAGTTTGGCCCCGATGCCGCTGACGTCGCGTCGTCGCCGTCGTCGCCGTCGTGAAAAGTATGGAGGGTATCCAAGATGGGGCAGTATCTATGGAAGAAGCGGAGAGATGCTTGAATAGTCAGTCACCCATCCAATCACTCTCCCCCTTTCCTCCCTGACCGCTACCCGAACTGACAAGTTGGGGGGGGGTTGTGGCGACAGAACTCCAACGATGCGTATCGACCCTTTGCGAGTCACACGAAGCCATCGACGACAGCCTCCGATCATGGCTAGAGCTCACGACGCAGCTGCACGACGCGAGCAGGGTGGATGGCGACGCGGACGCCACTGTGGTCACGTCGGTGCAGATGCTAGTGGGGAGCCAGCTGTTTCGCGAGCACAGGGAGTACGTGCGCACGCAGATCATACACAGCCTCCTGCAGGAGGACGAGACGGGACCGCTGTCGGCGATAACGGGCCTGCTTCTGCTCGACGGGCAGGATGACGAGAGGGTCTTCTCGAAGATGATCAACGAGGCGTGCTTCCCCAGACTGCTGGATCTGATTGTTCGGAGGGGGGACGACGAGCAGCAAGATGGCGATGTCTGTGCTGGCACGGACCCGAGCCTTCATCGATTCCTGCTGCAGCTCATGTATGAGATGTCTAGGATGGAGAGGCTCCGGCACGACGATATCAAGCTTGTCGATGATGCGTTTATACACTACCTTTTCGGTCTTATCGAGAACGTCTCGGACGATGTCAGCGATCCGTATCACTATCCTACCATTCGAGTTCTGGTACGTCACACAGGGGAGAGAAGCACCCTCAAGGAGGGAGGAAGAGAGAGAGAGAGAGAGCTAACATACCGGGCAGCTGGTGTTGAATGAGCAGTATATGCTAGCATCCACAGACTCGGCGACTGCGTGTTCAGACCCACAGGCGCAGCCGCAGCCGCTGACGAACCGCATCGTCAAGTGCCTGAGTCTGCACGGTGACTCGTTCCGCACGTTTGGCGAGAATATCATTCTCCTACTCAACCGGGAGACAGAGACGTCGCTGCAGCTGCTGATCCTCAAGCTGCTGTACTTGCTGTTCACGACGCGGGCGACGTACGAGTACTTTTACACAAACGACCTCCGGGTGCTCCTGGACGTCATCATCCGCAACCTGATGGACCTCCCGGACGAGAAGAGCTCGCTGCGGCACACATACCTGCGCGTGCTGTACCCGCTGCTGGCGCACACGCAGCTCAGCAGCCCGCCTCACTACAAGCGGGACGAGATCCTCCGAGTACTGAGCATCATGCGCGGGTCGCACAACGCCCACTTCGCGCCGGCGGATGAGACGACGCTCCGTCTGGTGGACCGCGTGTCCAAGGTGCCGTGGCTGGAGTCCCCGGACGAGCGCGACCAGCAAGGACGGGGAGAGGCTGAGGTGGCCCGGAAGATGATTGGCATCAGCCTATCGCCCACACACACAGCCAGCAACGTCAGCGTGTGCGACGTGGCGGGCGTCATGGAGAAGCCGGGAGTACAGACGCCCAGTCGCAACAACAATAACGGCAGTGTCAATACCGGGGAGGAAGAGACGCCGTCGTCGTCACAGGAAGCCAAAGCTTCCCGTGCTGGCCCCGTCCCGACCATGACGACTGCCAGGAGGGCCCTTCCGGCCGTACCGAAACATCGCCACGGTACACCGTTTGCACAGACGCAGAAACAGCAGACGGGGGTTAGCAAAGCGCCCGCCAAGAAGACGCCGCCCAAGGCGCCGCCGCCAAGACGATTCGGCAAATCGAAATCTATACAGTCTACTTCGGTGGATACGACACAAGAATCTGGAAAGGCAAAGGAGCCAACGTCATCGGTAGAAGCGTGATGTGGCAGGGCCTTTTTTTTTTTTTTTTTTTACATATGTAATAGCGTACAAGTTGGGGGGAGGGGGGAGGGGGGGGGTTCTTGTTAATCGTGACGCTCTATTCCAGTTTTGTCGCTCTCTGTGATAACAGCTTGGCAGCATCGGATATCACAACATGCGTCATCTATCTTGTTATCGAGCTGACGTTGGTCCACCAGTCCTGTGAGACGTTGAAGGGTTGGAATCCGAGCGAGCATCCTAGTGAGGGCTTCACCCATGGTGTCGTCGGGGTACTTGGCGTAGAAAGATGTGAGGGAGAATAGTTGCAAGTTCAGAACGATACTGCATCTCACGGGTCTTCGTCTCGAATCTATCGCTCACGGTGTTGACAGGGTTCATGTAGTGAGTGTTTGCGTCTTGAGAAGGTCGAATAACACGAGTATAGAAGTCGTAAGCTTCTCCTCCATACATGTCGTCGATCAGGACCTGTTTCTCACCGTCTCCGATTCCTTGCGAGGGCACGTTTCCTCTCGAAGATATCGAGGTTATCAGCCAGTAGTTCGTACTTGTCGCCGCCAGATTCTTGTCAGAATCTTTGAACAACTCGAAGAGGTGTTGATGGTCTTCGAGATAGCTGGCATCTCCTTCCTCGGCATCGCCTGTCCGACCAGTGGCAGCAAAAGCCTCTCATCCTCGTGTCATCTCTCCGGACATGGATCGGCAGGGTATCCGGTAGGTGGTAGGTGTGTATCCCGACGTCACGGACGGCTGCTTTCGATTCCCCTCCTCTTGCTCAAGCGCGTCCAGGTTCCCGGGGTAGTGTAGTGTGGCCTGTGGAGGGTGGTTGGATGGCTGACTTGAACATGGTTCACCGTCAGGTCCAAGCTGACGGTTGATTGACGTTCTGGGCTGCGGTCTGATGCCCTTCATTTCATCAGCGCACTCCGGGCGCCTCGCCGACGACTTTGCCAGGTCAGGCTCATCGTCGAGGGCCTCGTTGGATGTCATCATCTGGCCCACACGTGCCACCTTTGTCGCTAAGCTACGTCGTGTAGCTTGATGCCGTCTTCTCGTCCTTCCGTCGATGGCATACACTCCTCGGGGCCACCGGGAGATCACGAGCGTTAACCCGCTATCTTGAGATGTGTGGCAGAAGACTGTGCCTCCGTCCATGACTCAAAGTCCCTCCTGGAGGAGGTAGGATGCTTGTTATCAGCTCCCTTGCCTCTTCCCGTTCCTGTACTGTAGGCAGGTTCGGCTGTCCTTTGGCTGGGTCGAAGGCTGGCCACTCGGCCCTCCGCCATGGTCGGCCATGATTGTGTTGATCTCGTTTTTCAGTAGCTGTTTCCTCCGGCTATCCTTGCGGATCTGCGATGGACGAATTCTATCACCCATCAGTGTTGGTCACGTTCACCAACGCGCGTAGATAGCAGACGATCACACGGGTTCATCAGCCCCTCCCAAATTGAAGCGCCGCGGCGGTTGTGATGATCTTGCTTGCTCTCCTATCTATCCGTCTCACAATGCCGTATAAAAGGTGAGATCGTGATGGTTTGCTGCTGGCCTGAGGCAGCGGCCTCGGTGCCGGAACAGCGGAACAACCGTTCTCCATACGGCATCTGGATCGGATCTCCCGTACCGAGATGCCGATGCCTACAGTTCAGACTCTGGAGCCGTTTACTTCTTTGGAATGTATGTGACGCTCCACACGAGCGCAGCTTTTTCAAACCCACCAAATTTCGGTCACGTATGTCCATCAGGCTAAGGATCCAACCGTCCCGAGTCAGCAGGTCGAGTACATATATTGCAGGTAACAGACGCCGATGGCAACTATCACGATGAGTCAAGACTCTATGGAGAGGAGGACAGACATGCAGGCAAGGGAAGAAACACCGTTTCCCGTGATTTGCACCGCACAAAAAAAAACCAAGAAAAAAAAAAAAACCCCCCTCTGTTCTTTTCCTCATTCAAGTGGATCTACCGTATACTGCTCCTGTATGTGAAATATATGAGGCCTAGAGCTAAATGTGACATGACGATCACCTGCATTATCAAGCGGTACACGGGATAGTAGCATAGACTGCGGGGGGGACGGTGACAAACTTTCCATCCTCGGGCGTATCTGGCAATGGAGACCTGACCGTCGTGCTGCACATGACGACGAAGGGCTAGACTCCTACCATTCCACCCTCGCGCTAAGGCATCACCGTATATGAATTATACCTGCTCGGGGCCCGCTGGCACCTGGCGGCCTCTCTCTCCCCAAGTGCGTGTGACGCTGTTGGAGACTTTCTTCCATCTTTTATTTCCCTCGTCTCCGAATCCGGATGTTGTGGCTATGCGTGTGGCTGTGTATGTGACGTCATGGGTCCTCTCTACTCTGCAGCAACTCTACAGCAACAGCAACAGCAACAAAGAAACAAATGAGGGAGGATAGAGACATATGTGTATCGATAGGAACAGGAATGGATTCTGGATAGTATCGGGATCGAAAAAGAAAGAAAAGAAAAAAGAAAAGAGAGAGAGAGAGAATATATAGGTAAATGCCGTGTTTGCCCGAGTTTCGAGATTTTGTTGAAGTTGGGGAGCGAAGCGGAGATGCAGCTATCTAGTAACGACACAGATTACAGGCAGTGCCACTACCAAGTAACAGCAGCACACACAACGACGATGCCAAGGCGCTGACTCGTCATTACAGAAGAAACATTTTGAGGGGATATGCCGAGAACCCAAGAGCCAAGAGCCAAGAGGATAAGAGGGGTCAGCAGGTTTGAGGGAAGGGGGTTGACGAGGACATGATTAGGACAAGGCGTCGACGATTTGATTGCTGTACAGACGTGATTGTGCTACCAGGTGCCAGGTAGACAAGACATGACTTGAGTTGCCGAGGGAACATGAAGTTGAGGGGGGCTTCTCGGTGGTGTAAACATATGATGGCAGTTGTAGGCCCGTTGAGCAGAAAGTCGACAGCTGACAACTTGTATGATGGTACGAGTACGGATGGATAATATGGATACTTCATACAGACAAGACGTCATGATGGATGGTAAATCGTGTACGACGAGTAGTCTTCACTCTGCAGTATCTTCATCTTGTAGTATTACCAAGTACTGATACCACTACGAGCACATGTACCAGTACCTAGCAGTCAATAGAGAGTAATACTCTGTGATCCTCCGCGGGTACGAATCTCACTTGCGCCAAGATCCGCAATCGACTCCGGATGGCTGCTACCTTCCTATGATCCAATCCACCCCCGCCCAGAGATCATCCCCCGCCTATGCAAGTCTCTACTATTATTACTACTAGTATTACTACTAGTATTACTAGCACCAAGACTAGGATTTCTCCTCACAGGTTCTGTGAGCAATCTGCTATTCAGAAAGATCATCATTTTCCTTCTTTTTTGTTCTTTCCCTCCCCCCTCCTCCCCTTTCCGTACCTGCCATCTCCGCCTGCTTCGACGTCATAATACTGCAACATTGTATTTACCCTACGCAGGTGTGACAGACGGAACAGATACGCAGTCATACACACACACACACACACACACACAAGACAGACACCCATCTCACACTCACACTCCACGCGCACAAATACCAATAATATATATATATTATATACATATATATATATATACTGCGACGATCAATCAGGCCGATCCTCTGTCGCATATTTCTCTGCAACACAACTGGCCCGACAAACTGCATAATGGACTTTTACTCGTCATCATCATATCGCTCGCCGCCGCCGCCGCCGCCGCCGCAGCAGCAGCAGCAGTACGACCGAGGTTACCAAGACTACGACGGACAACATCAACAACAACAGCAACAGAACGGCAATGCAACCTACCCATACTCTGCTATAGCTCCGTCCGCCTACAACGATATTCCCCACCCTCACCATCATCATCGTCACAACAACAACAACAACAACAACAGCAGCAGCAGCAACAACGACAGCGACAATCGCCATAGCTACCAGATCATTGACAGCGACGCCCAGTCCTCCTCCCTCGGTCGAGACCAAGACGGTCGCAACGGCGTCGTCACCGTCGCATCCCCCCACCATCATCCCCACCAGAACCGAAACACGATGCAGAGATCCCCCAGCGTCAGCAGTTACCGCACCGGTGACGATCAACACCTGTCCGCCACTACCGGTGCCGGTGCCGGTGCCGGCGCAGGTTCCGGTGGCGTCCCGAGCAGGAGCAATACCCTCAAGAAGAAGAGCTCTCTGCGCCGAAGCTCGAGTCGCCGAAGCCTGAGAGCCGGCAGCGTCAAGAGCCTTGTCGTCCAACAGCCCCCGGCTAGCGACCCTGACGACATCAATAACATATTCTACTGCCCTGTTCCCAGGTCGGGGAACCCTACCGAGATACTCGTGTCCAGATTCCAAGGTACATCTCTCTCTCTCTCTCTCTCTCTTCTCGTGCGTGTGCGTCGGCCGAGCCTAGTGGTGGTACTGGTAGAAGAAGTATACTGACACAAACCCCCACAGCGTGGCGGAAGGTCCTTAAAGAACTTACCTCGTACTTTCGCGAGATCCAGTCCCACTACGAGAACCGTGGCAAGTCGCTGGCCAAGCTAGCCAACGCGTCCAGCAGCATCACCATGCCGCCGGGTTTCATGACGTCCGCGGGTCTCGACGACGCCATCCAGTGCATCCGCACGCACAACAAGAACGCCGTGTCCGAGGCGGGCAAGGCCAGGGAGATTGAGGAGGACGTGGTGCTGGCGCTGACAGGGCTGAGGAGCGACCTCCGCCAGAAGATCAAGGAGATCAAGAACCTGTCGGGCGACTTCAAGAACAACGTCGACCGCGAGATGGACCACACAGGAAAGGCCGTGGCCGCTCTGCAGGACGTGCTGGCCCGCAACGGCGCCGACGACACCAGCACCACCGGCAAGCAGGACCCCTATCTCATGCGCCTGGCCGTCGACCACCAGCTGCAGCGCCAGCTCGACGAGGAGAACTACCTCCACCAGGCCTACCTCAACCTCGAGTCCTCGGGACGCGAGCTCGAGTCCATCGTCGTCGGCGAGATACAAAAGGCCTACAACGCCTACGCCCGCATCCTCAGGAGAGAGGCCGACAGCGCATACGCCCTCGCCGAGGACCTCTGCAGCGGGCCCGTCTCCATGCCCAAGGACCAGGAGTGGATGCACTTCATCGCCAACGAGGAGCAGTTCTTCGATCCCTCCATCCCGCTCAGGTCGCCCGACCAGATCCGCTACCCCGGTCAGGACCACGTCGCCGCCCAGGAGATCCGCGCCGGTCTTCTGGAGCGCAAGAGCAAGTATCTCAAGAGTTACACAGCGGGATGGTGAGTTATCCCCGTCCGGGGGCCAGATGAAAAGAAGATGAGAGGAGGGGGTAATGATGACGAGTGTGCGTGAGATTTTTTGAGGACTGACAACAACCCTCCTTTAGGTACGTCCTATCGACGACTCACCTCCACGAATTCAAGTCGGCGGATAAGGGACAGGCCCCCATAATGTCATTGTACCTCCCCGAACAGAAGCTCGGGTCCCGCTCGTCAGGTGAGGGCACGTCCAACAAGTTCGTCCTCAAGGGCAGGCAGACGGGCGCCATGCACCGCGGCCACACGTGGGTATTCCGCGCCGAAAGCTACGACACCATGTTGGCGTGGTACGACGATATCAAGGCCCTTACAGAGAAGACGGCCGAGGAGAGGAGTCAGTTTGTGCGTACGCACTCGCGCAGCCTCAGCCAGTCGTCTCGGAAATCCACCAGCAGCGACGGGGCTCTGGTCGACGACGATGACGATGACGAGGAGCCCTTCTCCGCCTCTACCCGGATGCTTCGCCATCATCATCATCATCAGCAGCAGCAGCAGCAGCTCTCTGCTGGTACCGGCGCTGCTACGGCCGTCAACAACAACAACAACAACAACAACAACAACAACAACAACAATAACCACCACAGCAGCAGCAGCAGCAAGAACAACATACCCTCTTCTCCCCGTCAACAACAGTATCAACAACAGCAGTACCCTCAAGAGTATACGCAGCAGCAACGGCAGTACCAGGATGGCATCTTCTCACCATCGTCGGCGTCATCACCCGACGCCATCGTCGCCACTCGCCGATCTCAACCAGGTGGGCGGTTCCCGTCCGATATCCAAGTCAATGCGCAGCGAGGCTTACACGCCACCCGTTCGACGTCTAGTATGAGCTCCGCGAGGGATAGAAAGACCTCCTCCGAAGATGATGGCGCCAATGTACCCGCTGCTGCTGTCGCGGCAGGAGCAGGAGCAGGAGCAGGAGCAGGAGCAGGAGCCGGAGCAGGAGCAGGAACAGGCATGACGGCAGCTACTTACGGCGGACGAAGTGACGAGCCTTCCCACGCGGCCGTGGCGACGCAAGAGGCTAGACAGGATGGGGTAAATCCCTATACAGGGGAACCTGCGCAGTCTCGGGAGTTTGTGCCACAGGAACAGCAGCAGAACCACGCGTACATGAGACCTATAGTGATGATGGGACAGCAGCAGCACCAGCAGCACCAGCACCAGCACCAGCAGCAACCTGTCGAGTATGCCGATGTAGCAGCGGGAGAGGACGGTGTTGAGGCGCACAGCGACGACATCCTTGAGGATTCGGGAGCACATGTTGCCGAGCAAAGACAGGACGAGCTTCCCGGAAGACCTGTCAATGAGGCGACGAGAAACGACAGCATCAACGTTATTACCAGTCATATGCCTGGTGGATACCCTCGGAACAACGGTTGATTGTTTTTCTGCAGACTTGTGCGTATACTTTGTTTCTTCTTATTCTTTCTTTCTTTTCTTAACAATCTCCTTGATGATTGTCTGTTTCGATCAGCATGGGTAAATTTGGTATTTACGGGTAGTATATATTGCTGCGATGACGATTTATATGAAGATATTTCATCCTACTACATCTTTACAAGATGAACTGTAAAGAGTATTGATCTTGTATCCTGGCTTGGAACTGATGAATATTACTGCCCCATCTTGAGGTATCTTGTCTTGGTGAAGATGTCTCGGTTATGAAGGTCCTAGTGATGTGCGGAGTATAGATTCTCTAAGATTGATTATAAGAATATCGTGTACAAGGATGAAGACTACATGACCCATGATCGGTAGAACAATAATCCGAAGTTCCCACTCATACACCAATCCAGCCAATAACAAGGATCTAATCCCACCTTCAAACTTTCCGACAGCCTCTTTTGCTGTATCTGGCGCGGCTGGCCGAAATTTTCCAGCACAGGCGGTGCAAAATTAAGGAAGAAGGGAAAAAAAAAAAAAAAAAAGTTCCTAGACATTTGAAGAAGAAAAAAACCCCATATCAACATCCGACGGACGTCGAATCGACAAGTCGGTACACACACACACACGACACACAAAAAGACGACTTCGCACACGAGAAAGTAAGGGTCAATCGATTGACTCGGTACCGGAATTGAATCGAATCGATCGAACTCGATAAATCGCCATGTCTTTCCGTGGAGGGCCCCGAGGCGGTGGTCGCGGCGGTCCGCGAGGCGGTGGTGGGTTCTCTCTCTCTCTCTCTCTCTCTCTCTCTCTCTCCAATGTCAAGAATCAGGAGAATTTCGTCAAAGGATGCTAATCATCTCTTCTCAGGCCGTGGTGGTTTCCCGCAGCGTGATTTTGGACCCCCCGCGACGATCCTAGGTATGTGGTCTTTCCTCCACTTCTTCATCTTTTCTTCATCGTTTCTTCTTTTCTTTTCTTTTCTCCTCTTCTCTCCCATCCTTCCCCTCCCTCTGTCAAGAACTGATCTTTGGTTCTGTTGTTCTGACCAAGAAACAAAAAAAATCCAAAAAAACCCCCCCCCAAATTTAGAAATGGGTAAATTCATGCACGCCTGCGAGGGAGAGATGGTATGCGAGTCCATCAACCCCAAGGTGCCGCACTTCAACGCGCAAATCTTCCTCGAGAACAAGACGGCCGTGGGCAAGGTGGACGAGGTCCTCGGCCCCATCAACCAGCTCTACTTCACCATCAAGCCGACCGAGGGCATCCAGGCCACCTCCTTCAAGGAAGGGGACAAGTTCTACATCGGTGGCGAGAAGCTCCTCCCCCTCGAGAGGTTCCTGCCCAAGCCTAAGCCTCCGCCCGGTGCTGCCAAGCCCAAGCGTGCCGGCGGCGGCGGTGCCGGTCGTGGCCGCGGCGGTGCCGGCGGCTTCGGTGGCCGTGGCGGTGGCGGTCGCGGCGGACCTCGCGGTGGATTCGGCGGCCGTGGCGGTGCCGGTGGTCGCGGTCGTGGTGGTAGCGGTTTCGGAGCCGGTCGCGGCGGCTTCGGCGGTGGTCGCGGCGGCGGTGGCTTCGGCGGCGGTCGTGGTGCCGGTGGTGGTGGTGGTGGTGGTCGTGGCCGTGGTGGTTTCAGCGGTGGACGTGGTAGGTAAAGAAAAAAAAGGACTGCTTCCGGTTTCTCTTCCCCCCCCCCCCCACGTCTGTCAACCGATTACGGGTCCTTGTCATCTTTTGATATGTCTGACCCAGACATGTTGTCATCATCATATGAAGAATGAAAGAAGAAAGGAAAGGAAGGAAGGAAGAAGAAGAAAGGGATATATATGACGCGGAAAAGGATGGTGTTGTCACGCAGTGGTCAAGTCGGCGTTTTTCAAACAAGGCAAATGGTTTTTTTTTTTTTAATTCTCTTCTTTTTTTCCCCTTCCTTCTCTTCATGTCCGTCACTGAGATTTATTTCTACTTCGTTCTATCGTTGTTTGCATAAATCAGCTGCTTCTAATCGGATCTTTTCCAGTAGGGTCATGTGGAGTATTTCCTTGGTGATGTCGAGTATTCCCACTGGTAATGTCGAGTATTGATTGCATCGGTGACGGTGTACAGATTACGTGAGTTGTTGTTGTTCGAGTCTGACGTATGCACATTGCGGGTAATGATATACACATTAGTAGTAGCAGCAGCAGCAGTAGTAGTTATACTATGCACACCTACAACCGCAGCATCGAGACAGCCGAGAACAGTAGATTGCACATTTGACACCTATATAAAGAAAAAGCCCATGGTATATCTCCCCTTTTCCCCAAGTAGCCAGGTTTTCATCCAGAACATTCCACCCCCTTGCATCGCCCTTGATCACAAGAAGCACAAAAAGTCCCAAGTTTCCCTGATACACACACACATACACACACACACACAAGAATTAGGCTAAAATAAGAGAAGTCGTCGAGACAAGAATCCCCCCCCCCCCCYCTAATCTAAGGCTTAGGTATGCGAATCGTCCTGCTCGTCATGAGACAGCCATGCACAGCAAAGATGAGCACGACAGGATGACACTCGAGCAGGGTTCCCTGGGCCCAGACGCCGAGGGGGAGGGCATCCAGGATCCACCTCTTGTGCACCCAGTAGGCCATGACGGCGTCGACGCCCAGGGAGGTGGGGATGGGCGTACCCTCGAAGAACTTGGACTTGCCCGTGGCGTCCTTGGGTAGCGTCGACACGGTGACGTTGAAGCGCGCCAGGCGCGTGAGGCCACACAGGACGAAGAAGGTCAGGAGGAGGGTGTCGAGGGTCGAGCGGAGTCCGATGCTGAATGCCACCATGGCGGGGGCGACACCGAAGGAGATCTGCCAGGCTGTCAGTCAATTGGAAGGGGGAGGGGGGGTTGGGGTTCACAGTCATCGCAGTAGCAGCACAGAGAGAGAAGGAGAGAGAGAGAGGGGGGAAGAGTAGAGAAGAGGGGAGTGCGAGAGAGACATACCAGATCAGCCAGCGAGTCCAGCTCCTGTCCCATGAGGCTGCTCTTCTTCCTCCATCTTGCCACCTTGCCGTCAAAGGCGTCAAAGAAGAATCCGAACGGCAGGTAGATGAGGGCCAGCCAGAGCTGGTACGTCGAACCATCCTCCCCGCCGAGGGCGTACCGCAGAGACGAGAATATCGACATTGTCCCGCAGAAGCCGTTCATCAGCGTTATCAGGTCGGCGAGGTGCATGGCTCTGACGAGGGAGAAGTGGCCGACGTCGGCCGATAGCAGCATCTTTTGCTTGTCGGCTCCTATCACCAAACCACGGCATTAGTTCTGCTTCTTCATTTCTCTTTTTTTTGGGGGGAAAAAAAAGAATATATATATATATATATACATATACATATATATTGACCCCACCCCTCATTTTGGCATACCCCATGTGACGACATCGTTGGCCGAGCCTCCAGCATTGGAGCTTGTCGAAGTACGTTTCGACATTGCTAGGAAGAATTCAAATTCTTTTTGTTTTTTTGGTGGTGGGAGACGAAGGATAAGGGGGAAGGAGAGGAAGAAGGGAGAGAAAAAAAGAGTACGTCGATTTATTGGCTTTTTGATCAAGAGGTGTTGGTGACGAGAAAAGAAGAAAGAAAGCAAGAAAAGGGAAGATGAAGGAGAGGAAAAGGAAAAGAGCAAAAAAAAAGAGGCTGAGGTGCCCAAGGGTTTTGCTGTCAAGGCGGTGGGTGGGGGAGAGCTGACGGTGGTGGGGGAGAAGCTTGGGTGCTGGGAACTGGGAACTGGGGACTTTAGCTACCTCCTCCTCCTCCTCCTCCACAAAGGACTTTTTTTCTTCTCCCTCTTCTTCTTCTTCTTCTTCCGTTTCTAATCCTTTCCTTTCTTCTATTGTGTCTTACTCCCCTCCCTCCTCCCTCGACCGCCCCTCCCCCCCCCCCCCCCCCCCCCCCCCCCCCCCCCCCCCCCCCAAAAAAAAAAAAAAACATCCATTGCGTAGTTTCGCCTCCGTTCACGTGACTATCTCTCTTCTCTTTTCCTCTACTGTTCAACTAACTCTATTTCGTCATAGCCACATACCCGGTAGTATTGATGCCAAGTTGGGCACAGCTGAACTTCATTCTACTTTACTAATAGCAGTATCATCTCTATACTTTGCATTACTACGAGTACATGCATTACTGTAAACGTCATAATACAATCACTCCATATATAATCTCACCAATCATTCTTGGACATGTCAATGACTGAATCAGCAAATAAATACAAACTTCTCCTTCATACATGTACATTATATACTACTGCCCCATCTTCACCACGCTTGCTTCCTCTCCGCCATCCATTCGCCTGCTACTTGATTAAAAAGGGCCTCTCATATACTTCCCTTGTCCCAACTCCTCTCCTACTATTAATCGTCCGCATTAAGCCGAGATATATGCCCTCCACTATGAAGAGACGACATCACTCCAATCCAACATCAACCTACAGATACTCACTTCTCCTCATCAAGCTCTATCGTTTGATGAGAATGGAAAACCCGTCCACCCACGCCCCGCACGTACCCGACACGCCGCAGATGCTATATCCCCTAGGCGGTATCAACGTATGCCTGTACTCGAACCGTTAGCACCCTCGCACAAACTCTTCTTCGTCCTCGCGCGCCAAACACTTACGGAGAGCCACCGTGTGCCTGTCCGAAAACCTCCGATTTCCGTCCGAGACTTGTCAGAATCTGAATCCCGTCGACCCAAGCTCCAGCCCTGACGTAGAAGCCGGCAATCACCTCGCCTCGGCGTACATCTGTTCCCTTGTTAGCATGCTGTCCCTCCCCTCATCACCCTGGCTTCATCCTCCTGTACTCACCCAGGTCAAAGGAGCTGCCTCCTGGCTTGCCACCCTTCTTGCCAAACTGCTGAGACGATCCGTCGTCGTACACGAACTCCATGCCATCCAGGCCCAGGCCGTGGAACACATTGACACGCGAGAGCACGCGGTCCTGCCTGGTGGCGCTGGTAAAGACAACGTCCTGCGGCTGGCTGCCGTCCAGGGCCGAGTTGCCAACCTTTATGCTGCGAATGGCGCTCTGCTTGCCGCCCTCGATCTTGACGGCCGACCCCGCCGATACGAACTGTTTGAAGTCGGCAATGTCCAGGTTGCCTCCGCCGTGAGACTTGATAGCTAGCCTGATGACACCCTTCTTCTTGTTCTGCGGCAGCCTCGCGCGGAGGTCCTGCTCGGCCAGGGTGACCTGCCTCTGGCCGGTGATGGCCGCGTCTGGACCGAACTCGAGCCACGTATGGCACAGGTCCTCGCCCTCAGCATAAATCTCCACAAACGAGACGCCCGATGCCGCTGCAACCAGCAGGGCGTTTCCGCCCTCGGCCGGGTATGCTTGGACGCTGCCGTCTGGGTGTGCCGGGGGATCGTTGGGAAGTCTGAATGCAGGGTGGGATCGGAAACGCAGGGCATCCAGACGGTGCCAGCCGCACTCGTCACCTTGGAGGCAGAGGCCACCCTTGGACTTGGTCCTGGTCGAGTAGGCCTCGCGTGTGACAAAGGTCCTGTTCAGGACAACGTAGTCGCGAAGCATGACGCCGGCCTCCTGGTGCGGACAGCCAAACAAGTGGCCGACTTCGTGCAGGTGGGCGCCGATGCCAATGTTTGCCGCCTCCCACGAGCTCCCCGACTCGTTGCAGTCGTTGGCGACGTAGTTGGTGTCGGTCGGTGTGCAGTCGGTAAAGGCCGGCACCACCTCCTCCAGGGTGCTGGGGTAGCTGTGGAGGCAGTGGGACCCGAAGATGGCGAGCTGCAGATCACCACCCCCACCCCCGAGAGCGGCGTGCCCGGTGATCGTCTTGTGTTCCTTGTCCCAGTGCGCATCCATCAGCAGAACGGTGACGTACTGCTTCTGGCCCGGGAGCGAGGGGAAGTGCTTCCTTACGGCCTCCCCGGCAATGTCGAAGAGGGCGCCCTTGTCCGTTGCCTCGCCGTACTGTTGAGCCCTGTTGAGGTCGCGAATCTCGGCAACAGTCTTGTCGGAGCGGATGATGTGGACCTTGGCCTCGGAGCGCATGGTGCCGTTTGCGCGATCGCGGAAATTGACCGATCCCGTCGTCCACTCGTCGTCGAAGCGGAATGTTCGACGTCCCAGTTTATGGCGCCACATCTGTTCGGCTGTGAAAGCCTGCCAGAGGTAAGCGGCCATGCGGAACTTCTTGATGGCCGTCTCCAGCCCGTTCCCCTCAGCTTCGATGCGAGCAGGCGTCGCATCGTAGAGCCCGGGGGAGTCTTTTCCGAGGAGGATGGCGAGGTGCAGAGGTGGCGTGCTGAGGGGCGGGATCATGTGAACGGTCATGTAGGAAGCGTGAATCGGGTTAGACGTGGCCGAGTTGGGGATCTTGGGGCTGCTGAACTCGAAACGAATCTTGTTGGGGCCTGGCTGCAGGTATACCAGGGCTTTGAAGTATGAGCTGGACACTGGCCAGGAGACCGGCGGGAATTCGTCATCCAGCTTAGTGACGGTCAATGTCCCGTCAATTGGATTCTGCGCATCGCCAATTGTACCATGGACGAGGAGGACTTTCTGATACACCTAGATTGAGAACAAGTTAGTAATGCTGACTGAACCCCCTCACACCCCACCATGCAATAATTCTCTGGTCGCAACGCATCACGGCGGTACTTACAAAAATGCCGTCTTGGGCATTGTGTATCCTCGGCGCATACTGGGAGACTGGGAGTGTCTGGCGGCCGTATATCGAGGGGGCGCCTAGACCCGACATGCCCGAGACGCTATGGCGGTTCGTGTTGGGTACTGGCGCGATCGGGGGCCGTACTGGCGCGGTTGACGGGGATCCATGGCCGGAGCTGGCGGAATCTTTGATCTGAAGGTTGAGGGCTGGGTCGGATTGTTGGGCTATGGATGCCGGAGTCGCGCTGCCACTCGAGGGACCGGTTCCTTGGCTATTAGTTCCACCACCCTCGCTGGAGTCGTCTGTGCTAGACTGCTGCTCAGCGCGAATGCTCGCCTTCGAACGGCGGCGTAAACTCCTGAGGAAAGCTGGGGCCATGGCTCAAAGACGAGCAACCAAGGAAGGCCTCAAGATCGGAGGTTGGCTATGGTGAACTGGAACCTGATATTACTGTTCGAATGAGCATCAAAAGAGGCGAAACAAGACAAAAGAAAATCAACCGGCTGCGTCGAGGTCGAAAAAAAAAAGAAGGGTTGATGCTTGTGGCTTGACGAGGTGAAAAGGGGCGGAGTAAGAGGGGCGTTTGCGGTTGCGTATATATGCTTGTGGCAAAAAGGTGAACACGAAGTGGGAATCGGAGACAGAAACATGAAACGACTCCAAGACGTTGTGGATAAAGGGCTGATATAACAAAGGAGGCAGATATGACGAATACTAAGTGGAAGACGACTAGGGAAAGAGAGGGAAGATTGCGTCTGGCTTGCAGATGCTCCTGAGAACTGAAATGTACCCAGAGAAGCAAAGGAAGCATGTCAAAAATGACGTGGGGGTTGCCAAGCACGGCCGCATGCCACGACAGGACATGAATTGATGGTTCATGTCACAGCTCCAAAAAAAGAAGCTAGATCCGGCATGGCAAAGCTACTACGGTCGAGCTGAGACTAGGCCGACTAGGAGGCAGCCGGCGGGGATTGTAACGTACCAAAGAAAAAAAAAAAGACTGTGGGCTGCAACGATTGTATATACGGGTATGACGACGTATTAGTTGGCAGCTTTTAGTCTGCTGAATTCTGGACAGTCCCAAGGCTTAGAGGCCGCCTTTTCTGTGTGCGTGTGCGTGTGCGTGTGCGTGTGCGTGTGCGTATTGTCGTCGGTCTTTTGCCCGCTTTTGACCCAATGGAGATTGGGCAAGATGAGATTTCGGTCTGGGCCCCAGGTCAAGGTGGGTTTGACTAGTGACGCTGATCGAGATGATTTGCGTAGCGTGTGTTTGAAAGGATGGAGCAACCGATTGGTTGTTGACAGAAGGTCGAAAAGAAAAGAAGAGAAGAAAGAGAAGAAAAGACAGAAGAGGGAGAGGAAGAGTAGAGGAGGGGGGAGAGGAAGAAAGAGGATGGAGGAAGGACAAGAACGAACGTGGGGAAGAAGAAAAGCGACGATGACGTGGATGGAAAATGAGTTTGCCGGTCGCTTAGTGGGTTTTGACAAGTTTCTGGTGTAAAAGGTGGTTGGGACTGTTTTAGGGAATTTTTTTTGTTCTTTTTGTTTCGAGTTTATGGCTCGTTGCGTGGACACTGACGTTGGTTTGGAGGGGAGGAGGTTGAGAAGGAGGGGGGGAATGGCAGTCAAGGGCAGGCAGGTGCCGCCGGTTGGTAATATTGGGACGGAAGGTGCGATTAATGAGAGGAGAGAGGGATTGATGAAGGTATGAGGATGGAAAGAGCGAAGCAGAGGGGAAGGAACTTGGAAGAGGAAGACAGGAGAGAGAGGAAGAAGAGATCGGAGAGAGAGCGGAACAAGGGACAAGAATACAATAAAAAGCGATCAAGCTGTCGACAGAATTGATACGTATTTCCGGGTGGATGAATAACTGGTCCTTGCCGAATGCACCATTGAGAATACGAACAAGGGCGGCAAGGAGGAGAGAGTTGGGGAGTTGATAGGAGAGTACGGAGTCGTATTATGACGAAGACGCACGGAAGATGTGGAGAAATGAAGGAAGGAAGGAGCACCAACGCGGGATTGAATCATGGGGGACAGGAGGAGAGGGACAAGCTGTGAATGAATGTTCATTTCTGTCTAGTATTAATAGTAATATGGTACTTGTATTAGTCCAAATAATAAGTGTCAATACTCGTAGGTAGCAATGATAGATGGGCATTTATATCAGTCTGTAATACTTGGTGGACGGATGTTAATTGAACTAAAGTGATTTATGATGTAGTGACATATCACTACCAGCAAGCTCAACACTAACCTGTACTGTGATAATAACACTGCTCTCTTCTACAGGTTGATACGATCTATATTACCACTCCGTACATGTAATACTCCGTGAGTTGATGCAATGTCGTCTCATAAAGACAGACATCCGTAGTATGATGACACCTGTTTCGCATGCATGCGGCTATCCCGGCAGCCAAGCACGCCACCAGCCGTTTTTGAGACCAGAAAGAGGGAAAAGCCGGTCGGCAAATAGCAGGATAAAAAGCACGAGGGTGTGCACTCGTACTATACGCTAAAATATGTCTCTTGTTGGTGCTGATCACGATAAAGAGGTGGTGGTTACGTAGCAGGCGTCAGATAGTTGTATCAGCCAAACCAGCCAAAAAAACAAACAGCTACATATACTACTTGTATCAGTATATCACCTGTATCAACGTGCATGCAAAGAAAAGACTGCCGAGAGATCAACGAATACAAAGCAAGGCGCCAAGAGCAAATGCCGTCAAGATAACACATCATGTCGTACACGAATTCGAGGGTGGGTGATCAATGACAGAGGCAAAGACAGAGAAAGAGAGAGAGTAGAGATTGAGACATAGACATAATCCGGTTGGGCGATATGCATTCATTCTTCTTGTCCATCTGTGCCACATTTGCCACCTACGCCACAGACAGTATGGAGAAGAGAGGGGAGGTAGAGAGAGGCCTGCGCCACATCTAACTGTTTGGTTGCTCAAGGAGTACATGTAGTACTCGTGAATGAGTGCCGATCAACCCCATCGGAATGGTGTCGCGGATAACGAGGAGTTAGGAGCCTGAGAGGTCCTCCGTATTGTAGATAGAAGAAGGGGGGAGGAGGAAAAAGAGCTCCAAGTTCGTGTGGTAGGTGAGTGCATACTCATACTCGTGTACTTGCAGATGGCAGATGATACAGGCAGCGGTGTGATTCGTGAATCTACCTTTCACAAATCTCGATCTCGCAGGGCACATGGGTCTAAATGGATTGAGCTACGGATTAGAATGGGATAATGATCATAGAGCCTAGTACAAGCACTACTCGTAGTGAACATGGGCTTTATCCTTCCTCTGCCCTCTTCCCGTTGATTAATGTACGGATACGTATAGCGTCGTCTTTTTTTTTCTTCCCACGCCCCCCACCCCCCCTGCCCGTGCTTGTGCTTCTGCTAACGAAGCTAGTTGCATGTCCTGCTGAGCAACCATGCCAGCTAAATACCACTCAGCTCTTTACTGGGGTTGAGAGAGGGATAGACGATGAGAAAAGGGATAGAAAAGTATCATGCCAATTGTGCATTGGCGCTGATGGTCGGACACGGCTAAAGTGGCTGCATTAGTATGACTGCTAAATATCGCTACAGTATTACTCGTAACAGTAATACTGCTCCAACCAGGCCTATTACAGGTAGACCCCGTCCTGATAAAGAGCCTGCATGTACGATACGCCGTCGCTGGGCCAGCCAGAGCCAGACCCGTCAGCGTCAACCCCTTGTGCGGTGGTGCCTGGTTGCCAGGGACGATGGAATGAAGGTGGACTGGAGATTGTCTAGGCCTCTCTCTACATATATCAATACGCACAGATACAAGACCATCATCGGCTTGGGTACTGCAGTACTGCTACTGAAGTAGCGATATTCTTACCTACCTACATGTACCATGCAGTATCGGGACGGAATAGAGCAAGTATCGTCTCGCTCTCACGACGAAGGGCTTATACTCTCTGTACTTGTAGTGGACTTATTCATATGATCAGGATGGAGGTTGTTCCCACCCAGTATTAGGCATCATGAGCAGCGCTAGGTACGAGTACTGCTACCGCTGGGGGGGGGGGGGGACACTGTACCGGGACACTTATAGGGGCTTAGACCACTGCAGTCCCACGGTACTCCCACTGCCCACTGCAATCCTACCGTAATCTATCCCTCTCGTACGCCCAATTGAGGGTTCTGGGCTGACCTCGAGCTAGCACCTGCAACCACTTAGCCAGACCTGAAGCCCAAGAGCCTATAGGCGTCCGGGCCCTGTGACGACCCCCCTAAATTTAGTGGCCCTCGTATGGTCCGTACCTGCCCATTCACTGCGTCCAGCCAGCCACCGGCAGCCATCGGCTTCTCAGATTCTTCCACGGACCACTCTTCCTTCTCTCTCTCCACTCGCAAAACTCCTTCGAACCCGCAACCAACCCTGGTCCCTTGTCACCCGGGCCAACAGAGAACGTTTTTTTTTCTCTTTCTCAGCCAAGTCTGACCAAGTCTGACCTGACCTGATTGACCCTGCTCTTCCCTCCCTTTCAGCCTATACGTTCGCTGTACGCTGTATTCACACTCTCCCCCCTCATTGTCCGGTCAGCCTCTCGTTCAGACAAGACAAGCAAGCAAAGGATCATTTCGAAGATTGTATTTGTGTTGCATTATTCAAACTCCGTCACTGCAGACCGACAAGATCACGCTTCTCTCCCCTCGACATGACCTCACCCTGGAAGAAACAGCCCGAGGATGTGGTAGACAGTGTCCTCAAACGTGCAGAGTTGAGCAAGGTAAGCAGCAGCATACACCTCGTCGTTCGAAAAAAAAAAAACAAAAAAAAACAAAGGAGGCATCTTCTCCTTTATTTGCCCACCACACCAGACAACTGACTCGTAAAACCTGCCCTCCTCCTTGCAGATTGCTCGACACCTGCAAAATCGTCTCGCCCTCGCCCAGTTCAAGACCAAGCATGGCTGGGAGGACCTCACCCTCGACACCATCGAGCCCAAGTTCGAGGAGGAGATGCGTCGCAAGCGCGCCCTCGAGATCAGCGACGTCCACTCGGACTCGTCGTCGAGCGCATCCGACCTGCCCTACCCGTCCGGGCGCAACACCCTGATGAGCTCCCCCTTAAAGGCACCCTTCTTCTCCGACGCCGTCGGCTCCAGCAACGGCAGCTCAGGCCACCGCAAACGCACATATCTTGGTGACCTAGACAATGCGGCCGCCTCGAGTCCCAGCAAGCGTTTCCGAGTCTCGCCCACGGCACGCAAGTCGACGTCGTCTGCTGCCGCCGCCGCCGCCGCCGCCGCCGCCGGCGGTGCAAGCTTTGGCGGAAGCCATCTGGGAGGACATGCGCCCTGGAAGGACACGCATCAGCTCACCCAGTCTTCGCCCATAAAGCCTCGTCGCCAGCAGCACTTCACCACTTCCAACGGACCCGATGTCTCCTTCTTTCAGACCAACCTCAACCTAGCCGTCCCCTCGGACGATGACGACGATCTGCTCCCCGCACACTCATTCGACATTCGCTCCTCGCCGCCGCGCACACCGCCCATGCGTACGACCGGCCGTCGATCCAGGGACGCCACGGCTAACTCCAGGACGGCACCCTCCGGAGCTGGTGGTGGAGGTAAGCCCGAAGAGGGTGCGGATCTCCTCATCTACCTGGCCAACTCGCCCTCTCCGGCCGTCAAGAATGGCGGTCGCCGCACAGCCATGGAACCGCCATCGACCCCACCCCAAAAGACAAAGAACCTCGACCTCCCCTCATCCATGATGATGACGCCCGGGGGAGGCAACCTGTTCCCCAACACGCCTGGCCAGACGTTTGACTTTGCCGACTATGTCAATATCACGCCTAGTCCGGCGCAGAAGCCGTGGAAGACGCCCGTACCCCTGTCTGCGGCGCGGACACCGCTCAGCGCAGCCAGGCGACGTCTCACGTTTGACGAGCCGCTTTCTTGATGTAGCCTCTTCATCTCCTTTTCTTCTACGTCAAACTCGACATTTTCTTGTGTACATGATACCACGACTACGAACCGAAGCCACACCCCTCTTATCTTACACCCCCCCCCCCCCCCTTTTTTTTTTTTTTTTTTTTTTTTTTTTTGTTTTTTTTTTTTTTATTTTTTTTTTTTTTTTTTTCTCTGGGTGCACTAAGTCTTCAGCCGTCTTCATCGTGTTTTGAACCAAGCAGGCGTTGGAGGGTTTGGTAGTTCCTCTCTGGTTAAGTCCTAAATTTCTGCGGGTAAACCCATCACTCNCGTTTGACGAGCCGCTTTCTTGATGTAGCCTCTTCATCTCCTTTTCTTCTACGTCAAACTCGACATTTTCTTGTGTACATGATACCACGACTACGGTCCGAAGCCACACCCCTCTTATCTTACACCCCCCCCCCCCCCCTTTTTTTTTTTTTCTGGACTATGTCTCTCTCTCTTTTTTTTATTAATTTTTTTGACCTTTTTGTCTCTCAGCTCTCTTGTTCTTCTTCCGTCTTCATCGTGTTTTGAACCAAGCAGGCGTTGGAGGGTTTGGTAGTTCCTCTCTGGTTAAGTCCTAAATTTCTGCGGGTAAACCCATCACTCTACGCGTAAAACGCGTGAGGGGGAGAGAGCCAAAAGCGGGGGCGGCGGTGTAAAGCGAGATCCAACCCTTTTTTATTTTCTTTTTTTTCTTGCTTATGGGATCTCTCTCTCTCTCGATAACTCTTTCACTGTTGTTTATGGGTAGCCGTGGGATGATGAATGGTTAATACAACATGGTATTTTGAGACTCATTCTGTAGACTTTTTAATATTAACGTGATTGTCGTCCATTAACGCGTCCGTACGTGTCTTGTTCGTGTTTCTCCTTTTTTTTCGTGTCGCGTGAGATGTACGGTTTAACCAATAACGATGTGTTGAGTGCTTGTATCAGTATGATGTCACGCGTTTTATTCTCCTAGTTACTTGAATGGCATGACTCTCTGCTCGTACTTGACTTCTACGGAGAAACATCCCTAGATGCTTTGTTTTTCCCTTACAGACTGACCAATGAATATATAGATGCCTTAAATGCTGTTTGTACAATTGTATATAACTGCTTATACTATGCGATGAAACTTTTGTCTGCCGCTTAGGCGTGCTACGATTGTTTTGGGGGGGAAAAGAAAGAATGCTTGCTGAATGTTGCAATAGGTATCAAGGTTTCACAGATGCCCAACGCCGTATGTTCCCTCCTTCGGAAATCAAACCCCGCCCTTCCTCGATCCCATCCCATTCCGTATACTGATTGAAAAACCTTACACGGCATTCCCTATCCTCCTAGGAGACAGATACCCCCCCGCAGTCCTTGGCAAAGAACCCATATCAGGTCCAGGCTCACCCCACTCCTCTGCAGCGGCAGAGCCACCGGCACCGGGAGCGGGAGCAGGAGCGGGAGCAGGAGCGGGAGCAGGAGCGGGAGCAGGAGTGGGAGCGGGACTCAATCTCCTCCTCGCCCCCTCGAGAAGACTTGGCATCCTCGGTGACGGGACTGCAAAGGAAGCGTCGATCTCGAGGTCAAACTGGTTCGACTTGACCGTATCCGAGCGTGCGAGCGAGGTGGTGTCTGTCGTGTTATTGTTCGGCTGCAGCCGCTGCATCTGCAGTGGCTGGGGACGTAGGGTCACGCTGGACCGGGTTGCTACCGAGGTGTCGGTGTAGATGGACGATGGTACGACCCTCTGCTTCTGCCTCTGCCTCTCCGACAGGCCCTCGAACGGCACCGCTGCTGCTGCGGTGTCGGCGAAGGGATTCTGATTCTCAGACGAGTCGGTGAGGGGATGGTTGTTGTTGACGTCTGGTGAGTCGGCAAATGGATTCTCGGGGACGAGCGTCGGCAGCGTCGGCTCGATACGGTCGGCGGGCTGCTCGTCCATGAGGAGACCTAGACCGCTCCTGCGGGCTTCATCGGCCCTGCTGTACGGCGTGGAGAACCATCGGCTGCTTCTGCCGTCGGCGGGTTTCTCTTCGTCGCCCCGGCGGCCATCTCCGGTCTTGTTGAAGGGGACGGAGAACCAGTTTGCGTTGCCGTTGCCGTTGCCGTTGCCGTCGCCGCTGCCGGGGCTGGTACTAATCCCAGCAGCAGTGTCGATCTCTCTCTTCTTTCTATCCCTGCTGCCACCAAACGGAACGGAGAACCAGTTCGATCTGAGCGGAGCAGCACCCGATCCGGACCCGGACCCGGACCCGGACCCGGATCTGAACCCGGGGGATGCGGTAGGCGTGGCGGCGGTGCCCAGTCCCATCCTCCGCGACAGGCTGCTGATCTTGTATGACAGCGCGCCGGCAATCTTGGTGCACCGGGCCGTCGGACCCACGGACGCCGTGTCGAACTCCCACGTCCTGGCCGAGTTGGATGCGGCGGCGGCCGAGGGCGGCGGGGCGAGGCTGAAGGCGGTAGGCGGCGGAGACGGTCTCGGTCGGTCGGCAGCCTCCTCCATGACGGGCGTGCGTATCCTGTACTGCTCGTTGCGGCGGATACGTCTGCGCCACAGCCACAGGATGACGAAGGCGGCCAGCGCGGCGCCTACGGCGGCACCCACGACGCTGCCTGCTATCACGCCCGTCCTCGACGATGCACCCGAGGCCGAGCCCCCGTTGGAGGAGTCGGCGTCCGAACCTATCGGGTTCTGGCTTATGCCGTTCCCGCTGCCCCCCCCGTCGGCGTTGTTGCTGCCACTGCCGGCACCGTTGTTGGTGTCGGGGGCGACGGTCGTCGTCGCCCCGCCGGAGAGGGTGGTGGTGACGATGGACTCGGCCGTGGTGGCCGCTCCGCCACCGCCGCCGCCGGTGATGACGGTCGTACTCCCGTCCGCGGCTGTGCTCGTCGTCGACGGTGCGTCCCCCCCACCTCCTCCTATCGGAATGACGACGGGCTGGGTGATGGCCGTGGTGACGCTCGTCGTCAGCGTCACGGGTGCATCCGTCACCACCGACGTCACCACCCCGCCCACGCTCGTGACGATGGTCCTCAGCGTGGTGAGCGTGCTCTCGAGGACCTCGGTCGTCTCGGCGACGGACGTGACCGTCTCCACGGCCGTGGTCGTCTCGCTCTCCTCCCCTGCCGTGCCGCCAGTCGTGGGCGCCACCGCCACCGGGGGAGGCACCGCGGCGGGGGGAGGCACCGCCGCCTCGTTCGTTGTGCCGCTGCTGACGACGGGGGCGGCTGCAGGTGGAGGTGTTGCGACGGGAGGAGGGCCGGTGGTGGTCGCTGGCGAGGAGGTCGGACCACTGCTGCTGCCGGACGTGGTGCTGACGGTTGGAGGGACCGCGAATGCCGACTGCTGCGCTCCCCCCCCTCCTCCGCTGGTGCCCGGTGTCGGTGTTGCTGATCGGATCGGCGTCGAGGCCCCAGGGGTTCGCGGCACAGCCGTACACTGTCTCCCGCTGATTGAAGTGAGGAAGAATCCGGCCGGTAAGGATGCCATGGCGGTCCCCTTAGTTTAGACCCTCTTCTTGTATTCCCTTTTTCTCTCTGGGAAGACTATATTACTTCGTTCCCCCCCCCTTCTCTCTGTCTGTCTCTCTCTCTCTCTCTCTCTCTCTCTCTCTCTCTCGTATATGTCGTATGATAGAATGAAAAGCCCAAAACGGGGCGGGGGGTTTCTCGTCGTCGAGCGAAGGGCACCAGGCCACTTTCACTATATATATAAAGATACAGATGAAACAGCGAATTAAAAAAAAGATATGAAGAAATGAATACGCACAAGAAGAATAGAAGAACAAAGGAGATGAAGGAAGAAAAAAATTCCCGATGTTAACAACGACGATGCATAGGGAGAAGAGTAGAGAAAGAAAGGATAAGTCGAACAATAGCAGGAACACATACGCAAGTACGAGCAACGTAACCCTGGTACCACCACCCTACTGACACGTCGCTTACAAAGAGGGCCCTTGGGACTGCATCGTTGATCTCGCCGGGAATCAAGGGGCGTCCTTTTTCTTTCCCTGACTTTCTGCGACATGACCTGAAGCAGATCCGGGCTTTTGAGAGTCTGGGCAGGGGGAGAGGGGGGGCGGAGTATCGATCGGTGCGGACTCCATGATGGAGGGTGTATTAATCTGTACAGATTAATATATATATATTTAATACTCGTGCTGATATTAAGAAGCGAGTCGCCATCGACCCAGTCATTTTACGTTATTCGCCTCATCTGTCTCTCCCGGATGCAAGAAACACAAAAACTCGATTCTCAGACCGGATCGGCCTTTTTTTCTTTTCTTCGGGAGTCGCGAGGTTGGATGTCTTTTTCTTCTTTTTCTACGTGAGACTTGTACGGCCACAGATGGGATTTTTAAAGGGATCTTTTTGGTGGGATCAGCATACAAGGTCCTTTTTTTGATGTACGATAAATGATATACAGAGTACGGATATTATAGCTATAGACTTATGGAGAATTCCTTTCGTCCCTCTTCTCCTTGATTGATGTATACCTTCACCTTACTGCGGTCTGCTTGTTTAGTTCAAGATTATTTATTCATGTAATATTACATCACGGATATGAATATAGAACGGTGAAGTCAAAGAAGTTTATTTAAAAAAAAAAGGGTAGAAAATTTGACAGAGAGATTAAACCCCTGCAACTCAAGAATAAAGAAGACAAATTTTGGCTCTTTTTTTGCCTTCGGGACTGCCCTTCCCCCCCCCCCCTCCTCTACTCTCCCGATCCTATGGGATGAACTTGTCAACGTCTGAAGGGAGAGGAGAGGATTCGTGGGGGAACATGGGCTCTGAAACACTGTCGAGCAGCCCCCCTCTTCTCCCCCTCTCCCCTCTCCCCCCTCATGATGGACGTCACGCTGTATGGGCAGACTCTTTTTCAGCTCTTGGACTTTCCTTCTTCCTTTTCTTTCTTCTTTTCAATAGTCGGTATTCGATACGACGCATCTGATATGACTTTTATCTCCTGTCTCTCACTTGACTCTCTTTATCAAGAAAACCATGGAGATGTATAACATATATATATATATACGGAGAGTGTAGACGAGAACGCTCGAAACCCTTGGCGTTCGTCTGAAACACGCACAGCGCGGACTTGGTCTCATGACAAGTGCAGTCCAAACCCCTGTCTAGTGTATTCACTTAATATATATCATTCATCATGGCGTAATCCGTAGTCGTACACTCTCTTCTTCCTCTCCGTCCTCCTCGTCTTCTTCTTCCTCTCTCTCTATTACGGCTACTGGTATGGACAGAAACATGCGATTCTGTAGTGACGAGCAAGCGTAAAACGTACGGTAAGACTTCAAAATCACGTGTTTGATTTTTTTTTTTTCTTTCTACAAAGAAAGAAGAACAGGAAGATGTAGATTAAATCAATAAATCTTTCATAAAATAAGACAAAATCCTAGGCAAAGCCTGGGCGGTCGGTTCCTTTTTAAGGAGGGAAGGCGCGACGATGCGTTCCTTCCACTCGTCTCACCATCGATTTGGTCTCCGTCTCATCCGTCGTTTCTTACCTAAGAATGTCGCCAAAGAGGGGTAGTATGTGGAAGACACACACGGAGGAAAAGACAAAGAGAGAGGGGGAGGAGAGAAGTGGTCGAGAGTGTCGACTGATACCGCAGAGAGATGAATAGATGGATGAATAGAAAACAAAACCCAGAGATGCTTCATCCCTCGCAGTCTAAGAAGAATGATTACCGTACGTGGCAAGACATCGTTACCACGGAGCTTGTTATCGAGCTATGCTATTCCGTCTGCTCGGAGTCTTGCAGAGCTGCACCCAACCGCGAACGTAACCTCTCCCTCTCCTCCTCTCTCTTCTTCCTACCTAGACCGACAAACCACGATGCACCGTGCCGCATCCCTGCACAGACTGCACCTCACTCAACAGCAGACGAACCTTGCCGACTGGCTGATACTACTGCCAGGAATAGTACACGTGGTGACGACGGCAGGTACGAGTACGGATACGGTCAGCCCGGGCCACTCCCAGCCACAGAGTCGACATGCTCGTGTCCGTGTCCGACACCGTCCACCGATACGGCCAACACGGGCTACGCCTACCACGTCTCGCACGCCCTCGGCCCCGCGAGACCCCAGCCCGGCACCGTCATCCTGCTGCTGGCCATGGCGGCGGATGGCACGTACGTGTGGACGCCGCGGGTCATCCTTCGGCCACCAGAGGTCTCTCCCCCTCCCTGATCCGAGACAGGCTCGTAGCCCCCAAGCGCGGCAGACCAGACCAGGGGAGGGAGTATGCCGGTCCGACCCTGAGCAGATAGATGATGGCCGGGGAGCCGTCCGAGATTGGCAACGGCGACATGAAAGTGGACGGGTTATCCGTCGTGCAACCCATGTCCCAGTCTACCGACACACACCATGTCTGCTGCAGTTGACTAGACTGGCCGAGATAATATCGTGCAAGGTAGGTCATCGATCACGGCCGTTGACTTCAAGCTGGACCAGATTATGCGCAACCTACCCTTCGTTTCCCCCTCCTCTTCGCCCGCACAGCCATGGACGGGATCTGAGTCACAGACCGGCCTAGCCCTCCGTCCGAGGAATACATGGTCGACTCCCATCACCCAGCACCAGCTGGGTAGGCTACACGGCAGTCACGTCAGACCCGTGGGCGATAGTATGCCGAGCGTGCCTCGGCGTGCCTGCCTCTTCGGAGTCCGGGACGCTCCCCTCGTATCTCGGAGACGGCCAAGGGGATGGTCGTCTCGATCACTTTGGGGGAGGGGCTGGTCTAGGGGTGGGTGAATCGGTCGGGTCAACGGCGGCGGCGGCAGCAGCAGCAGCAGCAGCGATTGGGTGGATGGGAATGGCAACGGGAATGAATATCTGGAACAGCCCGACGCAGTTGATGAGCAGTCATAGCTCATCACTGCCATCTAGTTTACCTCGTGCAGAGCTGGGCAGGGCCAGTGGAGGTGGAAAGAGAGATGTTGCGGGGACGGCTGGTCTGATGGGACGGTGCNTTTTTTTTTTTTTTTTTTTTTTTTTTTTTTTTTTTTTTTTTTTTTTTTTTTTTTTTTTCCCCGCCCTTTTTTTTTTTTTTTTTTTTTTTTTTTTTTTTTTTTTTTTTTTTTTTTTTTTTCCCGCTGTGTGTGTGAGAGAGGACCCTTGTCTACATGTAATATTGCGTGACATGTATAATAAAAGGGTAGCGGCGAGGAGGAGGTCCAAGGTCAAAGGTCGGGAGGCGGAGGGAGGGAGGTAGGGAGAGAGTACAGAATACCAGAGACATTGGCGAGACACGGAGAGAGGAGAAGACTTTGTGTGACACGAAATTGATGAGGCGAGGAGGGTTGTTGTTGTTGTTCTTGTTCTTGTTGAATTCCAGAGATTGGCGTATCACCGGGTCTCGCCAGGCAGGTGATAGTCGTGACATTGACAGGGTGATGAATGAATTCCAGTCTTTGATCTACTTCTACTCTTTCAATCTCGAGTCTACTCTCTAGTCTTGGAGAGGGGGAGAGGGGGAGAGGGGGAGAGAGGGGGGGAGGTTCTTTCTTCTTTCTTCTTTCCCCCCTATCTCTTTCTGCAAATCTCTCGGTTCTCTCGATTCTCTCAAGTCTCTCGTCTCTTCTCTTGTACACTGTACAGACAAATTACGGGCTCACATGTCGGAGACATTCGATTAGGCGGAAGCAGCCAAGATAAAAATTCCGAGAAACTACATGCATGTGCCTTACAGATGATACTCGTAGTAAGCTCTGCAATTCTGTTGAGTAATCATAACGCTAGTCATATCGATTGCTACGGTAAAGAGCATTGAAAAAAAAAATGAAATGAAAAAAAAAAAAAAGTATTCAAACTGCTGCTGCTGTGGCTGCCACGGTTAGGCCTAACGTGTGGCAGACGGGAAGCGGCAAGCGGCAAGCGGCAGACGGCAGACGGCAAAGCGGCAAAACGGCAGAGCGGGAAGTCCCACAGCTGCACGTCAAAAAAAAACCGACATTATTAATAATAATACTCCGTGCAAGAAGCTAGTGAATATAGAGTCTACAGGTTAGTAGATATAGAGTTTAGTAGATAGAGAGTTTAGTAGACATAGAGTCTAGTAAATAGAGAATCCAGTGACTATAACATGACAATATGTGCGAGTACCGATAGTAGATTAATTAGCATACATGATATTACATAATAATAATAATATATATACGAGAGTCAACTCCAGTTCCGTACACGTGAGGTGCACAGTAAGTAAGCAAAGCAAGCGCCCATGAAACGAAACGACACGACGACTGGTGCCTCTCTAGATGATAGTATCTGCATCTCCTGCTATCGACGGCTAGTAGTTACCAGATCCTAGCTGAACCCGACTACTACGTTACATGATTACGTGCAGTTCCTAGTCAACCTCGACTATCATCAGGTTATAGAACATCCTTCTTGAAAATCTCGACAACTCCCTTCATTAATCAACCTTGGTCTACGGGCTCCGAAACATGCCGGAGGATGAGAGTACGGTAGAGTGTGCGTGCGTGTGAGCGGGGAGGACCAACCGGGAGAAGCAGCAGCTCTCTCGTCCATTCCTTGGTGAGAAGGATGCCCTCGGTGATACAGTGTCACATCGTCGACGACTGGGACCTCTCTCTGTCTCAGTGGCGTGCCGCTCCTCCCGAGACGGGTATTCTTCATATGTAGTTGGTATTGGGGGGGGGGGGACAGGAGAAAGGTCGCCCCTCCTCTCTCTCACCTTGACTTGCCCTTGCAGATTTCCAGGGCATTGGACTTGATGTGTCTCCATGTCTGTCCTCTCTCACCATCTCGAACACCACACCATCCACTCCGCACTGCCGCCTTCCCCGAGACTCCGACCAGCCAAGGCGGCACGGGATACGGACGATATTGAACACGTATGATGACGACTCCATCTCCCATTACGTGGCGGCCAGGGCAGATCCACTAGCTCGCTGACATGCCATCTTTGGCCTTCCTCACGCGTCGCGGAGGGCTGGGATCGGGGTCGTGTAGAGAGGGTCTTCTTGGATTCGTGATGTCTTATCATTCCGTTATAGATCTCCCATCTATCCCGCCCTCGGATCTGTAAGATATCATTTGGGGGGATTTTTTTTTTGGGGGGGGGGGGGSGTTTCTCTTCTTCTTCTTCTTTCTTCCTCGTTCTTTTTCTCATATATCTTTAATGACAGAGAAGTTTCCAACGAAGAATTACGAGGGAGATGACTACGGTGACTTGGCCAATGTCCTCTATATGACGGACAGGACGACACAACGTCCGTTATCTCAACCACACAACTCACCCATGCACAACCAAACTCGATACACTTCTTGAACTCATATATACGTCTTGTAAGAGAGGAGAGAGAGAGGAGGGAGAGAAGAGAAAGAGACAAAAAAAGGAGACACACACACACACACACAGAGAGAGAGAGAGGAGGGAGAGAAGAGAAAGAGACAAAAAAAGGAGACACACACACACACAGAGAGAGAGAGAGAGAGAGAGAAAAGATGCCCTTCTTTACTTGTGGCCCGGAACAGGTCGACGAATACCCAGACGACATCGTCTACCCACTACACACACTCGACACGACAAAGACCCTCAAGAAGCTCAATGTGCTGTGGACCTATCGCTTCAACGACGTGCTCGATGCCGACAAGCTGGACGCCTCTCTCACCCGACTTCTCGAGATCGGTGACTGGAGGAAGGCAGGAGGGAGGTTGAGAACCAGGCTTCACGTACGTCGCATCCGCCCCTNTGGACGCCTCTCTCACCCGACTTCTCGAGATCGGTGACTGGAGGAAGGCAGGAGGGAGGTTGAGAACCAGGCTTCACGTACGTCGCATCCGCCCCCCCCCCCCCCCCCCCCCCCGACTCTCTTCTCGTTCCAGCTCCTCCCCTGTACCGGCATCCATCACCTTCACCTTCATCATCATGAGCTAACCCATGCGCAACGCGAATAATATAGGATGGTCGGCTGGAGATCCATACACCGAGAGACTACTCGGCCAAACGCCCGGCCACGACCTTTACGCGCTCCGACGAGACAGACTGCTGCATAGCCTGCCACCCGGTAGCGAGCACCTTACCGGAGCAGTCGGACGAGGCCTACGCGCAGCGCTGGAACCAGGACCTCACACGGCTCGCCCTACGACGAGACATCCCCACCACGCTGCAGGGCTACACGGACCGGGACGTGCCCATGATATCCGTCCACGTGGTGTCGTTCCGCGACGCGACGCTGGTCGGCGTGGCCTGGCCGCACGTGCTGATGGACGCCGCCGGCCAGCTGGAGCTCATGAGGGCGTGGTCGCTCGTCCTGGCGGGGAGGGAGGCCGAGGTGGCGCCCGTGCTGGGTGCGCTGACCGACCCCCTCTGGGAGGCGGCTGGGCCCGAGGCGGGCGAGAAGGAGCCCTGCCTGCTGGAGAAGGCGAGGATGACGCTCCTGGGCGTGGTGCGGCTGGTGAGCAGGCTCGTGTGGACCGAGGTGGTCGAGGTGCCGCCCGAGTACGGCGTCATCTTCCTGCCCAGACGGTCGGTGTACGAGATCCAGGCGCGGTGCATCGCCGACGGGCTCGGACTCGACGTCAACAGCAGCGACGAGTCGGTGACGACGGCCAGCCAGGAGACAAAGGCCTACGTCGGCGTCAACGACGCCGTCACGGCCTGGCTCACCCAGCAGGTCGTACTGTCGCAGGGCACCGCCGCCGCCGCCGCCGCCTCCGCCACCACCACCCGGGGACAGAAGGGACAGAAGCGGGAGCGGCAGCGGCACGTCACCGTCGTGGGCGCCCTGAACGCGAGGTACCGTCTGCCGTCTCTGCTCGACGCCCCGGGCGTGCACGTGCAGAACATGATACTCGCCACCTTCACCTTCCTGAGCCCGGGCGTCGCCCGCGGTCCCCTGGGCGGCATCGCCCAGGCTCACCGTCGCTGTCTGCGCGAGCAGGCAACCCAGCGCCAGGCCCAGAGCTACCTGTGGGACAGGCTGCGGGGGCACGCGTCGGCGAGGGACCTCCGGCCCTTCTTCGGGGACCCGGGCGCCCTGCTCATCTTCATCAACAACCTCACCAAGATGGACATGTACAACGTTGCAGATTTCGGCCCGGCAGTCGTGGAGCAGACGACGCAGAAGAGAGGGGGGGAGGTCGGTGGAGCAGTCGAAGCAGGGGACGTGAGGCCCGGAAAGGTGGCCTTTTACAACATGAGGGCGTACAACACTACGGACAGGGCGGGCAGGAACTTCTTCACCATATATGGAAGAGATCACGGTGGTGGCTGCTGGATCGGCGTGCATCTGGCGCCGAGGACATGGGAGAGGGTGAATAAGGCTTTGGAGGAGTTGTGAGGGGATGTGCATACTCGGCATTGACATTTTTCTCTTGACTAGACCCCCCCCCCGTATATACTCATGCGTATTATACTACTTTTTTTTTGGGCAGGGTCTGCGGTCTACATCATGTGTCTCTGATGATTGATGACGATGGATGATGGATGCTGTTGGGTGATGATGAGATGCATGCATGGTATAGGGTGAGTGAAGAGAAAAAGCTGTCTTCTAAAGAAAACCCCAACCCCCCCCCCTAAAAAAAAAAACAATGGACGCCAAGACTGCAGAGGCCCCCCCCTGTGAACAAGGGTCGGGCCGTTGACCACGGGACCTGGATGCAAGTTGACAGCTGCAGAGGATAATACTGAGGAGCTGTGCCATATTACCACTACTACGACCAGTATTACTCGTATCATTAACTACTCGTACGGCACGGCATGATTAGTAGCCTGCAGAGACAGACACGGGCTACAGGCCATAGATGCACTGTTATAGGACTCAACTTGGCTATACTGAGTACTGATACGATTTGGGGTGCTTCCCTTAGTAAAAAAAGAAAGGAAAAGAAAAGAGAAGAGAAGAGAGGAGAGGAAAAAAAAAAGACTTGTGAGTAAAGAGACAAGAACCTTCAGTGGCTCCTTCCCCCTCACTTCCTTTCCTCTCCTAGAAACTCCCTCTCCTTCCTCCTCAGACTCCCCCGCCACATTTTCACCCTCCACATCCTCCACACATCCATCCTCCACACCTTCATCAATTGTTTCATCTACTTATTCATATCTTATTCTCATCTCTGCTAATCATCCCTCATCTACAGAGAGAGCAATCAATCTCTGGGACAGTTGGGGACAAGCTATGCATCCTGACCGTTGTCTTTCTTCTTCTTATGCTAGTAACCTCTCCTCCATCCTGACCTGGCTCTTCTCTCTCTCCGATCCCTCCCCCTCTTGAACCGACTTACCCCCACATTAGAGAAAGGCGCCTAATTCGTGCAGCTGGGTTAATATCGCGTGTCTCCTCTCATCCGCCACCGTCACCATCACTCATCAACCCCACCGAATGGAATAAATAATACAGCTCACTTGATCGAGTACATTTGCATCTCATCATCCCCCTGCATCATGTTCGCGACCTTTGGTGTCGGTGTGTTCATCCCTCCCCCCCCCCCCCCCCCCCCCCCCCCCCTCCCCCAACTGCCAATCCACAGCCGGGGCTGGAGCTAGAGCGCTCTATCTACTTCGTGCCTCACACCACCCCACCGGTCTGTCGACAGCGCAGAGTCGACCCGATGACGGAGCAGCCAGCCAGCCCAGCCCACGAGGATGCATCGACAGCCGCCTCCAACTTCCAGAACTGACTGACAACCCACAGGCAACGTGAGGCCGAAGAAGATCGACCCAAAGGATGTGCCGGAACCCACTCCGGTCATCCTCCCGCGGTACCAGCCCGTCGCCACCCAGCCAGGCTCCCAGCCCCCCCCATCAGAGTCCCTGACGTCTCTGCTGGAGCACACCGGCCGCGTCAATGGCTCCCTCATGGGGCCCGTGGGGCTCCGCGCCCTGGGCTTGGACCTGTCCCTGGACGTGAGCAAGGAGGACCTGGTCCCTGACGCTGCCTACGTGCCCGACTTCGAGCAGTGGGACCGGCTCAGCCAGGACGATGCGCAGGAGCAGAACCAGTCGACGCGGAGACCTCTGCGCAACGGCAACCTGTCGCCGGGTTGCCAGACGTACCTGGAGCGCACGCGCGAGCTGTCGCACGCCAACAACGACAGCTTCCGCACGGTCCGCAGGATCCCCCCGCCTCGGGGCAAGCAGCAGGCCCGTCTAGGTAACGCCTACGAGTTCTTCCGCTGCCTCGAGACCATGACGTCCTTCTGGGACGACCCCACCCAGCCGCCCGACACGCCGCCGTCACCCGAGGAGACGGGCAGACCCGACGAGGAGGCGGGCGGCCCGTCGACGTCGGACGGCAAGCCGGCGGCGGAAGCGGGCCAGGACGACGGCGACGACGGCGGCAAGCCCGTGCGCACCGCCTCGGGCCAGTCCATGCCGGCCGACTTCCGACAGAGCCTCATCGTGGCCTTCATCAAGCTGGTAGCCTATGACTTTGGATGCAGCGTGTCCATGGCGCGCAACGAGCCACGCCTCCAGCTGAGCTCACCGCTCGGCTCGCGTTCCCCCCGGAAGTCGTACATCCCGTCGACATGCGCCTTCGTATTCCAGAGCCCGACGACGCGCGAAGCCGCCCGTGGCGGGCTGGTGTACGGGCCGGTGGCGGCGGTCAGCGCCCGCGCCACGACGGACATGACCAAGCCGGACGTGGAGACGGCTCAATCGCTCGACCTGGCGCGCGAGGTGGTGGCGGCCCTCATCACGGCCCAGCACCGCGCCCGCGAGGGTAAGGAGGAGGTACGCTTCGGCGAGGGACAGTGGTGGACGCAGCAGAAGAGGTGGGGAGGCGGTCCGGGAGGTCCGATAGGTCGCGAGATTGACCGCGACGCCGTGCAGGGTGATAAGGATGTCAGGCCGACGTCTGGCGGCAGCGGCAGCGGCAGCGGCAGCGGAGGCGAGGGAGGGCCCCCCCTGGCCAAGAAGCCTCGCAAGAACATGTCTGCGTACGACAGCTATCGCATGGTGCGTCCGCCGGCGGGGACGTGGGACAAGAAGGCGCGGTACGAAGCCATAGGCAAGCTCAGGGGTGCCGACTACGACGACGTGCTGGTTATCAGCTCTCTGTTCCACCACGTGTCGATCCTGCGGGTGCGCGTCCCCGACAGGTTGCTCGAGGTGTTGGGGGGAGCAGAAGGTGGCGCTGACGGTACAGGGGTTCAGGCCTGGAGAAGTCCCTGGTTTGACCTGTACGACGTGCAGCAGAGGATCGAGGCGATGCGGTACATGTGGTGCGTCATGGCGTATATGATGAGGAAGGACGAGGGGGATGTTGTCATGAGGGATGCGTGATGCACGTATCTACGAGTACATGTACGGGTCTCGCGTGTACGAGTCTCGTGTAACGACGGTATATATGGCATCTGCGGGAAACAGTAGTAATATCTATACTATACATTTGGCTATACTTGTGGAATCTTCGATGGTCTTGGTATAGGCCATTGCTACTACTACTATAGCTACTATTGTCATGATGATGACAACGACATCTACTGCTGCTGCTGCTACCACTACTGCCACTACTACTAAATACCCCATTGATCTCATGTCAATAGTAGAGTGGTAGACCGTAGTATAGTGATATAGTCACTGGCAGTAGTCGTAATCTGTGTACATGTAATACTGACCGTCGGACCCGGAAGTTCGACGTTTAACACCATAATCAGTTAGCGGGGGAGAGGAGGAGGGGGATGATCTTTATTCATTCCCGCCCTCGCTCGCCCTTTTTTTTGTTTTTCAATGAGAAAAAAAAAAAGGAACTCTCCACAATCCAGCTGGGCAGGGATCTGTGTTATTCCACGTTTTCATCATCATCATCATCTTTTCTTTTTTCTCCCTCTTCTTTTTGTCCCTCCACGTGATACGGAGTACTCCTCGGATGATAGACGGCAATAATAGGTAGTGACATCTGATCTGACCCTCCGGCACTGGGTGATGGATGGTCAGGCAGGTCAGACAAGGTTAGACAATCGGTTGCATGCATGTATCCGTGGTCAAAAGACTCTCGAGTAACAATACTGGTAGGGTCCGGTAAGGCCAAGAGGTTGAGAATATCATCATGAACAAGGGATTTTTTTATCCCAATCTGAAATTTCTTCTTCTTTTTTGGGCTGTTCAAGTATCTGTCTGTTTGTTTCGTCGATAGCACACCGGTAAATTTGAATATGTACGATATTCCGTCCTCTGCGTATTGCGAGTTATATATATATATATATATATGTATTGCCTTGTTTGTTTCGTTGGTATCGTGCCAGCAATGTACTCCGTTCTGTACTACGAGTCTGTCCCATCATTCGTCGTGTTGACTATAGAAGGATTGATTGTCCGGCATGGGATGAACGGGTTGATATGGAGTAACGGAGTATAATTACGTGTACCACCACGGAGTAACGAGTATAAGTATTATAATCACAAGACATGGGATAGATACAGTGATACACTGCATCTCGTACCTGAAACTCGTGCCTGGACTGTGCTATAATAAATACGGTCTAGTACCTGGCTCCTACATGTACGAGCTCCAGTGGTTTTTAGCAGTAGTTGGTAGTGGTAGCAGTGATGGTGGTATTACAGCAGTGATTAGTGATGGTGGTATATAGTCAGCGAGTAATGGTTATATAGTGGTAGTGGTGATGGTGGTGATGGTGGTGGTAGTAGCTGTAGTCGGCAGTAGGACTCTCCTGGTGAAAACGAGGTGAAGCCGACAGAGTGGGCAACCAGTACAGAGGTGATACACCTACCTCTACGTTGGGTAAGAGGAAACGGGAAGAACAAGAAGAACGAGAGATGGAATGATGTCGATGATATCACATCATCAGGACAGTCCGCAACACCGTACGTTCACTACGAGCATCCCGTACACGCACACGTAGATGACGTGCAATGGTTCCCTTACAAGTTACGGGTACTCCGTAGCGTCTCCTTCCCCGGGGCAGAGCCTCGATCCGACCCCTGCAATTCCTATCATTTGCAGGGGGCGGGACGTCGGGGACGCCGCTGTGGTCCGGAAAGAAGCGTGCGGCTGTGTTCAAGGGGGGGTGGGCATACAGAGAGTAAGATCATCTTACAGGTGGCAGCGCCGAAGCGTTAGGTGGTGGCCCGCGGGTGGGTGGTATGCTGCAGCCTGTAGAGCCTGTAGCCTGTAGAGCCTGTAGCCTGTAGAGCCTGTAGCCTGTAGCCTGTAATAACGCCATCTTACAGTGGAGTGGCTGGATCCGGTCTGTGGCTTGCTCCGCACTGCCACTTCGTCCATAGCTGACATGGGGACTTCTGTCCTGCATGTGGTACCACTACAAGCACATGTACTCGTGCCTGTATGCTGCCTTGATGCTCCGTATTACTCGTACGTGTATAGAAATTATGATACACCTGTACGCTCCAACATCGGACACTCCGTAAGGAGAGACAGGAGACAGGGAAGGGGGAGATTGGAAATTTGGAAGAGGTAGATGTAGGTTGGATATGGGCATGCAAGGAACCTGCTGTTCTGTCATGTGTATAGTAAATACTTGTGTGTGTGTGTGTGTATGTGCTCGCATGTACTCGTTCTCAGTATCAGCCCAATTCCTCGTACTGGTGGTGTATCGGCCAAGTACGAGTACCTGTGCATGTACTCACTCATAGACGGAAGGAGCACACGAAGTCCGAGCTTTTTAGTATGTAATCTTTACAGATCAGATGGAAAGAGCTCTGTGAGAGGGAGAGTCACTGAATATCAAATTATCCATCAATACCCAAGAGAAGGAACGGCCAGCTGCGACTAGAAGAACACTAGCACATGGTCCGAGAAGATTTGGCATAGGCTCTTGCGGAGTGCCACAGGTCTTGCAGGTGGCTACAGAGTGCTGTAGAGTACTGTGGAGTGCTGTAGAGTTCTGTAGAGCCTTACGGCTATGGAGTGCTGATGCAGACTCGATATCGCTACCCGTATTGCATGTACGGGGTGATACTAGCGACTCGGCTGCCATATCTAGCTCGGGTACAGTCATCTATCTGTACGCATCCCAATGGTATTCACACCCACCACCAACACGGCCAAATCTGTTGCTGCTCTTTCCCTATCCTTCCCTCTCTCTCCCTGTCTCCCTCCCGCTCACACTGCCCCTCTCTCCTCTCTCCCTCCATCTCTTCTCCTTTTCCTGCTACGGCTCCTCTGCCCTCCCGTCTCTCTCCTCCTCCTCATCACCGCTTCTTCATGTCCGAGACGATACGACCGAAAGCAGATACAAGCACATGCATGTATGCACATGTGCATACTTCTCCTTGCCCCTGTCTCTCATCTCTCATCATCATCCACTCGCACGCCAGTGACGCCACCCTTTGATACCTCCTTGCCTCCTCCCCCCACCCTCCCCCCCCCCCCCCCACACACACACGCGCGCGCGCGCGCGCACCCACACACGTCTTATCCACCAAGCTTGGTTATCCATTGTCGAGTCTGGGTGA